GCCCCCCCCCCCCCCCCCCCCCCCCCCCCCCCCCCCCCCCCCCCCCCCCCCCCCCCCCCCCCCCCGCCCCCCCCCCCCAAATTCAAGAGAAGGCAAAACGGAAAATTGGAAAAGAAAAAAAAAACCTGGAAGAAAAGATACATTCTCACGTGGTTTCCAGACCCTTTTTACGTCTACCTACCTATCCGTCTCGGTCAAATATTACAAGATGCCTGTTCTGCTTGCATCGAGGGAATTGGTAACGGAGCCCTAACCAGTTCTAGACCGTTCAGAAAAAAAAAACCGGATCTCATGCTCGTTTTTTACTTTTTTGTCGTTTTTGCCTCTTGAGAATACCATCCCAAGTCGGCCATCGATTTTTTTTAAACTTTTTTCCCTTTGGATCCCTTTGGGTCCCTTTGGGTGTAACCGCGGGGGAAAAGGGGAGAGAGCGGGGAGGGGCATTTCTTTGTGGTGTGTTTGTGCTGGATTACCTAGGTCCTCGGATCGGACTCAGGAGATGCTAAATCCGGGGAGGAGGGTGAGGCCGAGGACGACCAAAAGCCCGAAAGAAATACTAAATTCCGGATTGATGATGGGCCGTTGATTTAGTACCACTGAGAACATCGAGGAGCCTGGATTCTGGTAAGTGGCTATAACGCGCCAGCAGCAGTAGCAGCAACAGCAGCAAACTTGTTGGTGGTGGCGGTAGTGGTAATAGTAGTAGTTTTGTCACGCAGAGCCTTGATTGGTGGTAAGCACTCGGTCTTTCTCAACTGGCACTATTTTCCCCCATGGGCCTACATCTTACATATTATTATTGTATGTATTCGTACACCCCATCCCTGAGCTTGGAAAGAAACCACCAGCTCGGTAAGACTAGACTCTGTTCAGGATGCGACCTATGTATTTTTACAGCTGGGTATAAGTAATAAAGCTTAGTTAAAAGCAAGGTCATCATGCTCGTCACCTTAGGTGACATCTCTTGGACATATCACCACGGCCTATTTCGGTAGTGCGACCGAGAGTTCCAGGGTTAGACAAGGTCCGTATAAACTCAGTATACCTTTGCGGCAACAACCGGCTCTTGGCCTGGCACGAGAACCAGTGGAATCGATTTTGATTACATCAGGTGTGTTATACATAGCATACCTACCTACTGCGCGTAACTGATAAGGCTTCCCCTCCCCCCTGGGAACGAAGCCGTCACTAGCAATTGAGGCTATTTTGGACTGTCGACCCACTCCACCGGGTTTTCAGGGTCCTGGCCGAGTTCACGAACTTACGAAATGCAGGGCATGTCAGGCATGTCTGGACTAATTGCTCCTTGAGGTACTCCGCGACATGGCGCTACGACGAATGTGGCGACCCCGAATTTGTAAGTTACGACGGTTGCCTATTGGGAGAGAGAGAAATGCTGGTATACTACCTAGGTAGGTACTATACTACTATACTACTACTGCTACTGCTGCCACTACCTAAGGTACTATACCATAACTACTACCTACCTCTTATTAGAATTGGGGATTGAATGGGGAAATAAGTGAGAAGCCGACATCGAAAACTTCTGTTGTAACGAACATGTATGATTCTACATAGTAGACGCAGCCGAGTTGTCAAATGATGAGTGACATTGAGTTAGGTAGACTTTATGTTAGGTTAGAGATATTAATATGGATATGCGACGGCTCGTTGTAGTAGGTAGACGCTATATTTATGGTCCCATCTCACTTACACCGGCGATGTAGGGGAAGGGTGCTTTAGTGCTATGTAGGTCTGTTCATTTCGAGGATCTGACATGTGACAAAGTTCCAGTCCCTCAATTTGTACGAGGTAGCATCTCGACTTTACCGTTGGGCTTCTGGACAGGGGTATAGACACGGCAGCTCACATATCCCCGATTCTAGAAATGAGAAGCTTGTATGCATATGTATATTACGGTAGGAATTTAATTCACTTACGAACGTCGCGGGTTCCCAAGTTTCTGCTGCTGCGCAACAGAAGGCGACGATCTGCGTCTTGGTCTTGCAACGCTGAAGATTTCGAGTCCGATCTGAGATGATGACTGGCTACCCTACCAGCCTCCTCTTCAGGTGACGGCCGAACATTTCACCAATGCAGCTAACGATCAACTGAGGGGGGGCCCCGGCCCACTACCACGCGAACGGAAAGTGACCGTTGGACCTTGGCGGCTTCACTGAAGGGTTTAGCCATGCAATAATGCTAGCGAGCCAACGGGCGGTTTCGTCATTATTGTTTCAAACAGCGGGGAGCCGGGGTCATCTCCAAAGAGGCTTCGCGTGAGAAGACTTGAGTAATAGGTAAGAAACTTGTGAGGCTGAATTTATTGTTCAGTCGGCCGTTTATTCAACAAGCATACACAGCATCAAAATTAGAAGAAAAAAAAGGACAGAAAAGAAAAAGCGGACAGAGTACCAGTAGGGCATTGGATATGGCTATGATATACACGCAGGTTCATACGAGATCTATTGACCAAAAATAGAATAAGTGGACAGTGCTGCTGTTCTGGTGGAGTTCGTGATTCAACCACGTACAATACATTATAGTAGCGGACGGCTATTAAAGCCCTGGTGGCTAGTATATCCATATTGCTATGAGCTTGTCAGCTTTAGATGATCCATTAGCCACGGTCTTCGTTTGCTGTCTCCCACACTTGGTGAGAGAAAGGCTTGGGTGGAGTTTTAGATGGCCCGTGGGCTGGGCCCTTGCTTAACAGGTTGTCTTGCGACATCTCTACACGGGCAGACAGGTAGCTGAGGGCTCGTACAAAAGTGTGGGGGTTCGTTCATCTGGTCCATGTACGACTAGTGACCCTTGTTTTCTCGACTACCCAGATGTAACCCTTGGCTTGGACGCATTGCGCGTCCCGCGTACCTTTTACTTTGGCGGTACAGAGCAGTGAACAAGTGAGCACAGCTCTCATCCGTTGCGAACCCTTTCCCACATCTGCAAAATACCGTCGAGGGTGCGAGCTCGATGCTGTGACTGGCCTAGGTCCCTTCGACATCGGAACTCGCTGGCCGGTTCTGGATTGTCTTGTAAAATCAATCCCCTCTCTTAAGGTCCCGATCCCGACTACACATCGGACCATAGTATAGGCTGCTGTTCAGTTTGGTGCCAGAAATCTTCCGTTTCACATAGACACCGGCGAAGGATTTTTTCCTCTTTTTAACTAGGACCCTTCCAGGTATCGCGGAGGCAAAAATGAAGGGGGTTTTCATGCTGTCCATGTGATTGATCTTCTCATCTTTTACCGTGTGAGCTATCAACTATTGGGAACCCCCACCTCGGTCAAACTCTCGCTTCTCGACAGGATGACGAGCCGTGTCCCTTTAAAGGCGACGTTGTTGTAATACATCCCGCGGCGGGCCTTCGAAATGTTCAACCTAGCGGTCACTTAAAAGTTAGAACGTCTAGAACTGCCCATGCTGCCATGTACATAGTAGCTTTGATGTAGCTCGAAGAGCCCGCTAGGTTAAATGAATACATTTGACAGTCAATTGGCGCCCGTTTATGCTGCTTGGTCATCCTGAGGCTGGTGACACAACCTCATGCACAGTTCTTTGCCGTCGAATTGGAAAACGAGACACCTTTCAAGCTACCCTCCCTATAATTATTAATGGACAAAGCCAACATCATCAATAGATGACAGTACGCTTTTAGAAATGAGCTTCTCAATTGCGGCTTCGGAGCTCCAGCTTGACTAGCCGCGCATAGGTAGGAGTACTATGTGAGACAAGAGTTGCTATCCCTATCCCCATCCCCATCCCCATGGCTTTTTGCTTTGTGAAATACAGGTATGGCTGCTATTGTATGGCGCTCGAGTTCCCTCTTGGTTCTCTACCTAAGGGTTTAAGCCGTTCGTAGGAGCAGAGGAGAGGGTCTTCTTGCCGGGTTTTCCCGAGACCCATAAAGACTCCTTACCAAGTGAGCATAGCGTCGATACTAGGTAGCCCAAATGTAAGGTCCGAGTAGTGTTGTTCTCTAGGGTGTATTCTTAAAAGAATATGTGAGCCGCCAAAAGCATATGACGCTTCAATTCAAGTCTAATGGGTCTAATGAGTCTAATTAGCACCAGGGCGGCGTGTGTTCCTTTCCCGCCACTCCACAAGTCGACGCTAGATTGGACGATCCGGACGATACTCTCACCATATATCACGATCAGGACAAAGACTATCCTTGCCTTATCTTTCTAGCGCCACAACGTCGACGCAGCTTGAAGTCACCAAAGACTCGACTACTATAGTAGAACTAACTAATCTTACATTTTCATCTCAGGGTGTTGACGTACCTGACATCTTTTAGCATCGCCGGGTTGGCTAGTCACTTAACCAAAGCAGATACACCCCATACATAATACTTCCGATGTAGGTATTGATCGTATCATGTATGGTAGATGGATGGGGTGTGGGCTACATCGAAGCTGGTGGTTGAGCCGTATCGGATATTTTGTCACTGTGTGCACAATGCTCACGTACCAACATACTGACATACTAGGTAATATGGCTTAACATGGCTAACATGCTAGGTACCTAGTTTCACTCGAGGGATGCTGCAGAGTTTTGCAGTTGGACAATGAACGATGAAAGAGGGGCAGCGGTCGCAAGCTGGAGGAAAGCGAAGGCCGGAAGTATTTAGTACGGGTGAGTACCTAACTTACCTGACATAGGACTGCAGCTGCTTAGATGTACAATAACATTCATTAGGTAAAATGTACCTAGCACAACGGAATGAAATACCCTTGGTAAGTAAATCCAAGACGTTTTAGTTTTATTTTTATTTTTTCCCTCGCTTCTCTTTTTTTCAAGAATTAGCGACATATAAATCATAAAGTCATAAATTCTCTTTCAACTTTGCCTGTTTCTTTTCCCTATATACACTTATACCTATTGACTATTCCTTAACTAAATGTATATTTTTATTTAACTACTAAAGTACCTACTTAGGTATGCATGTCATGTAACGGGCAGTCCTATACGTACGGGTAATTTATTTAGCTACGCCCACTTCGGATCTGTTTAATATTAACAATTAATATATTTACCTAACCTCGCTCAGGATTATTAAAGTAGAGAAGTAAAGCCCTAAGATAATACCAACTTGGTTATTTGTCTCTTGTTAGGTACTTTTCTTTGAATACGTCCGAAGTTGTACCAGGTAAGTTAGTACACCATGGGTATGCCCAAGCAGCCAAGTACGACCTTGGAACACTACTTAAACATCCGGCATCTACGTACTGTACCTGGGTAGGGTAGCTCATTGGTACCCTACTGCCCGATCCATTATAGTACACTTAGGTACCATGTAATGGCCTAACCTTGCTGCATAACCTGGGTAATAACAACCTGGGCAACCTGGGCAAGCTTCCCGATTCCACAGGTACCTAACCTAAGGTACCTAAGGTACCTCTACCTCTATCAATGCTTGCATGTAACTCGACAATTGTTTCTCAAGTCGTCGCCTAAAATCCAGACTTTTCTTCAATTCTACAATACAACCTACAATACAATAATAAAACTCTCGGACCAGGAACCCCAATAACCACCCCACGTTTAATCCTCACAAAGAGAGCGAGTATAACCATTATTATAGCTATCGTAATTAAGCAACCACAGGAAAGAATTATCAAATGTAAGACTCGAAATAGTAAAAAATCAATTTCCAATTTATTAAACCACCCCCCACCACTGGCCGAAACCTCTTTTCTCTCTCGAGTCTTTTCACTTTAATTTCGGTGTAGATCCACCCCTCGCCCAGAAACTCGCTTCGGCTGCATAGAGCTTATATAGGGTCTTTATGTGCGGAGGCAAGTCAACACTAACAATCCTAAGCCGCAGAAGCACTCGTTGCTTAACTGGGGTCACTGGAACCGTGGATCGCCGGGTCCCATGGATGCTAGCACCGGAATCATTCCAAGCCTAGTCTAGCCCAAGTAGCTTCTGCTGCAACTCTTGCTGTGCTCTTAATTAGTAGTACTGCGAATGGTACTGCCAGAAGAAAGGAAAAAAAAAAAAAAAAAAAAAAAAAAAAAGAAGAAACCCAGACCCTACATAGTACCTGTTCTGCCCATCCTGCTGCTTCCACCAGGTTATTCATTTACATACACTACTTGTTCTACTACTTTATTCAAAGAATTACCAGCATCTGCATTTGCATTTGCATCCACCTCCATTACAAAGTCTAAGGGTGCACCCACACCCCATGTCACCTAAGGCAAAGCCGAACCAAACTGCCTGATGAGTGACCATCCAATCCACAATGCGACTATGAACTGCCCGAGTTACTATTGTAATTGTTATCGTTTTCTTTGATCTGCTGGTAGTCGTCGCCTTTACTACCACTTCTCTACCCTCCACAAAACCTTCGCAAACCCCGACCAAGAAGTTACCATACATTACACTTCCAACTTTTCCGACTGAAAGAGAAACCGAGCAAACTAATGAGGAAGGGAGAGAAAACCGAAAACAAAATACCCCAATTAATTACCTACGCCTTCGACTTACACGTTTAGCGCTGGACTGCTACGGTTTTCCATTTTATCCCGGGTGGATTTGCAAGCTCGCTCTTCTCTATCCCTCTCAAGCGGTAGGACCCGGGACGTAAACTTGGAACATAGTGTTCGGCCTGTGAAGGAACTGGGCTGTCAGCCCAAACCTTACATAGTAGAACGTGGGGAAACTTGAAAGGTGATCCGTAATACGTACGAAATCGCTTTTCTCCAACAACCCCGTATGAACATACCAAAAAAAAGTAAAGTCCTCGACTCGACTTTCTTTTTCTTCGCTGTTCTCATCCACTCTACGACATGGTTACTAGCACAATATCTCCAATAGCGACTTCGAGTCCCTCCACAGCTATGAATCCCACAACGACAGAGCATGACTTTCGCTTCCCACGAAGACCTTTTGAGTCCACCGCCAAATTGGCCCAGACAAGTAAGAAGACAGTCGAGAACAGTCCTGGTGACTTGCGCATACACGAGCTTAACTTGGATTTTACAAAATCAGATGCAGACACGTCATGGATCGATTTTCTGCAACCCTCGGTTTTCCCTAGTTTTCAGAATGGCGTATGCGAAGACGACGAGAGTTTGAAGCAATTGCAGCGAAACGACCCGCTCGCAACCCAAGTTTGGAAGTTCTTTCGCAACACGAAACAGAGCTTGCCTAACCAGGAGCGCATGGAAAATTTAACGTGGCGTATGATGCACTTAACCCTACAGAAAACACGACAGGAAGATGCTCGGTATGTTGGTTGTTACTTAATGTCGTATAGGCGCATCATGATTCTAACTATCTTCACAGCCGCACCGCTTCTCGTGAGATTGGCAACGCCGTAAATGTTACCAATGCCCCAAGTGGTATCGCACAACTTCGAAAGACTTCAGACCAGAGCGTAATACATACGGATCCCATGAATATTGACGATTTTATATTTTCTGACAATGTTGCTACCCCGTCCGGGTTTGCAGCAACGCCTTCGCCGGACATAAACAAACAAGAGACAGAAAAGCTGGCTCACGCTTCATCCGCTGCTATCCCTATCAAATCTCGCAAAGCCCCTTCACAGCTCTTCGTTCCCCAGTCGGTTCCCGTTCCCGCTCACCAGAGAAATCAGGATGAGTTTGCCTACGTCACTCGACACCATCGAAAAACCAGCATTGACGAGAGACGAGTGAGTAAAGCCGAGGCGTCTTTGATTGTTATATTAGAACAAGACATAATTTCTAACCCCTTTACTTTTCTCCTTGGTTTACCATGATTATGCGACAAATAGATGTGAAAAGCTAATGATACTGTGGTAGACTCGAAACTTGAAGCGCCCTGCTAATTTTTCCCCTCACGTCTCGGCTCTGAGCAGCACTAATTATGTCTCTCACGAGTTGGATGCCGACTCTGATCTTCACGAATACTCGTTGGACAACTCTCATACAAACAGCAACGCCCATGCACCTCATCATCCAAGCGTCCCCTTTCCTCTTGACACTTTTTCCATGGAGAACGACCCTATCATTACTTCAGCAGGGCCCTTCCAGCAGGGATTTTCATTCTCCCCGTCGTCATCCCCAATGGTTCCTCATGGTACCTTTTCTAACTTCTACAATCACCACGGTGTTGCGACAAACTCGGTGAGTAGCGCCGACTACTATTCCCCGCCGGGATCTGCATATCAATCGGCTGTTTCTACACCACATCCTCTGGTAGAAAATGAGAATTTGTTTTTTGGTTCCATCGATATGCGTCATCAAAGAGCACCAAACTTCCGCCCAGGACCGGCGGGGTCCATGAGGGGTCAGGTCAACCAACAATTCATGCATCAACATACCGGTAACTCGATGTTTCCACCAACCACCACCGGAGCAGATTCTTCTGCTTCGTACACGCAAACCCTTAACTTTGGTCATGTTGATCCGAGCCAGGTCTTTCAGTCAGACAACCCAGTCCGTTCACCTGGCGTGGGCATGGCGCCTGAAACTATGTTTAACTTCGGGGCCGATTCCGATAACGAAGATGAGGAGGGTGGTGCGTTTGCTGACCGCAACATGGGCATGCAGTTTTCGCCTGAACATGAATCGGGGATGGATGTAGGGACTCAAAATTCCATGGGATGGGATGCTTCTCTACCTGGACAGTTCAGCACCCAAGCAGCCCGTTATCCTGGTGGGCCGCCTCGAAAGCAAGTCACTATCGGGGGCACGACAACAGATTATTTAGAGCCGGGTGACTGGGACGACCAAGCTAACATACCGCGGGCGCAATCGTTTCGATTGGCCAACGAGAGGCGTCAGAAGATACCTCGTACCGCCTCGACGCCAAACGCTAGCATGGCTGGTCGTGGGAATCCTTTCGACAAATTGGCTCAATCAAACCCGAATTCTCCGCCAGCAGACGTGTCAGGTACTGTCTCGGGCTTCTCTTCCGTGGCACCCAGTCGACCTACTTCCCCACCTGGTTCCAAACACGGCTCCACGAGCAACCTGCAAGCTGCCGCAGGAGGACAGGGAGATGGAAATGCACCCACTACCTGTACTAACTGTTTTACACAAACCACACCGCTGTGGCGTCGAAACCCAGAAGGCCAGCCTCTGTGTAACGCATGCGGCCTATTTTTGAAGCTTCACGGAGTCGTGAGGCCTCTAAGTCTAAAGACTGACGTTATTAAGAAGCGTAATCGTGGATCTGGCGCGAGTCTCCCCGTCGGCGGAACGAGCACGAGATCTAAGAAGAGTACGGGCAACGCGTCAGGAACTGCCTCTGGGCCCGCTTCCCGGAAGAACTCGACGTTAGCTATCTCTGCTACGAACACCACAACGCAGGTAACTACGCCACCATCGGCGATCAACAGAGCCGGCAGCGTTAATGAGGGCGAAAGCCCTGCAAGCGGCGCTGGCGGTTCCGGTGGTAACACAGCAGGAAGTACCCCGACTAGCTATGCGGGTTCTGCTACGGGCGCAGTGGGCGGCAAAGGTGTCGTTCCAATTGCAGCAGCTCCACCGAAGAATGCTCCAGGACCAGGTGCCGCCTCACTCCCGCGAAACATCGGCGCCAATGGCTCCTCTAAACGCCAGCGCCGAAGCAGCAGGAGTGCTGGACCGAACGAGTCATCGAACGGTATGGATGTTGATAGCCCCGAGAATTCGACTGGCTCGAACGAAGCAGCTCGTTCCGGTAGTTCTTCCAATGGACTCACCGGGATGCCCAACCCAGGAAACCTAGGTCTTGCTAATGGTTTTGGTATGTCTCAAAGACCGATGATGGGACACGGCATGGCCGGAATGGCTGGGAGTTCCAGCGGTGCAATGAATACCGGGTCTGGAAACGGCCCTCAGGAATGGGAGTGGTTAACCATGAGTCTATAAAGACTTGGCTACCTACCTGCTTAGTGTTGTGTCCTATGAGGGAGTTTGTTTTTTGTGAGCGCGGTCTCTTATACTTGAATAGTACCTAGGATATAGGAGTACCTAGTATATTATTTACTGGCCGGGGAACTAGCGATAAGCTATGGCTCCGTCCTAACAACCCCAATACCCCTACAGGCGGTCTAGCTAGAGGAGAAGCACTGTAGCAATAAGTTTATGATCATTAATGTCAATATTAAGGCCTGTACGTACTTGAATGACAACTAGGTAGGCGTGAACTGAAACATCGTGGCTGTGGTCGCCTATGTATCCCTTAGCGTCAATATGACTATGACTTTACAGCTTTCTCTCTATTCTTATCAGGTCAAGTGCAGGTGTACATAAAAGTGCGAGCAAGGAACTCAAACGAGCTACAAGAAGCTGTTGGCCTCCCAAGTCAACCCTCTATGCTTGGGGTATTAGAGAGGTTAACTTCCATGGTATAGATAGAGCAATTTTCGTTACAACGGAGCCAGATTACCATATTAATTTCGTGGGATAAACTCGTTACAGATACCCAGGTAGCTTACTAGGTGGGTAGAGGTAGTTAATAGAACAGTGTTTGCTCTGCTTAATTGACGTATTTCCCCATAATTACGTACGTACGTACGTACAATCACAATCACACCTAGTAACAACATCATGTGCTGCAAAGAGAAAAAAAAATTACTATCCCCTGTATGTGTATTTCAGCCTTTCCAGGCGATACCTGCTTTAAGTACAGACGAAGAGGGCCTGTGGGGGGGTTGGGTTAATGACCCCCGAGACTAAAAAGTCAGAACGATGATGATTGCCCTATGACTCCCTAAACGAAAGATGCAAATCCGTAATATCGCATCCGTAACCTCCGTTTCATCCCATTTCACTTTTTTTTGTTTTCCGATCAATAATAGAGCAGGATTATTTTGCTTTTCTTGTTTTTATCTGTCATACGCAAAAAAAGAGGCGGAGGCTCAGAGCTAGACGCTGTCAAGGGCTTGAGGTAGGGGTCTGGCCCGTCCATTGCCTTCCGAATTCCTCCCCGCGGATATGACACCGGCTGCTCTCAAGTGGGTTGGCGCTGCGATGCGCTTATGCGCCAGGGTTGGGGTTCATCTGCCGAGGGGTTAGTTGCGGAATCCGGAGATGCATCTGATTTTGTGTTTTCCGGAAAGATGCTCACCTTTCGCTTGCCACCGGTCAAGGTGACGTTGACGAAACGGCGGGTGTATGTGAGTCTCTTCTTGGCGCGGCCCTTAGGGGTCTTGGCCTTCTCTTGCTTCTCGACCTATTTTTCATGTTGTCAGTTTCCTATGTCACTTTTATCTTTGATGATCAAGTCCAAAGTTGATGTGCATTGCATTCGATAGAGGAAGCGCGCGTTGAATATGGTAGGTAATTGTATGTTGTATGTTGTTGTCGGAAGGCTCGGCTGAGGTTAAGTATGTTCGACAAAGCAAGTGGCGAATTGTGCATTGACGATTTACGTTTCGAGTTCGCGGGATGCTGAGTATTCGCATGATTGTTCGTAGTCGACGATGCAGATGATGATTCAAGTTGTGCGCGCGCTCCTTAATCGCGAGGATGGAATTTTCGAAATGTTGGATGAACTAACCTTAGGGGTCTGAGACTTGACCTTACCTGTAAGGATATTGTCAGCGAATTTCCATTTTTAAATCATCATCAACATCATAATAATATTTGCATCAGGATTTCAATCGATATAACGTACCGGCACGAGCGAGAGATCCGTGAACTTTTCCCATCTTGAAAGATTGCTGTTGTTAGACTGTTACGAAGTCGATGAAGTTGACAGAGAAAGTGGGAGAAATGGGGTCGGATGTTGGGTGGGTTTTTCTGCTGTTTTCTGCTGATGAATTCGCGAGTCTTGGCGCTCAGAAGGATGTTGTGAGGGTTTGGGATTCCAACATTGAGTCACACCAAACAGGGACTGGCCTTCGTCAAAATTTCCGAAAAGGGCTAAGTAAACCCTGGTCATGTGACAATGCTTTAGCTTGCATCTTCGGAACCCCCGCATCAGAGTTTATTGCATAATCACGGATAAGGCAGATAAGGCAAGGACTTCTGCGGGTGTTTATCGGTGCGTAGAATCTAGTGGGGCTACCTAAACTCTTCGTATACCCCTGCCAGGACGGGAGTGAGTCTGTACAGACATGTATCATCTTTTCTTTCACAACTTCTTACTTGAGTTTTAGTTTAGTTCAAAACACTCTTCACAATAATCAACGTATTTTAGCAGTTATATATAGTTAATATATCAACACATCCTAATAGGTATTTCCTTTGATTCTACAATAAGCAATATATTGATATTTATTTCTTACATCACTTATACCCATAACCCTTGATACGTATCTGGTCCCTGGTATCCTTTTGGACGTGCTCAAGTTCAAGTGACTAATCCCATTAAGGCAAGCCCCAGACCCAAGGCCCGCATGATGAGAGAGACCCACTTGACGTATCATTTCACATGGGATTGTTTAACCTCAGGACCGGTCACCGGCCTTCGTCTTCGTCTTCATCTTCGTCTCGTTTGATGAGACGGGCAGTACTAGAAGGTAATTTCTCCCCTAAAACTCCTATCTTGTAAAACTTAGAGATTTAAAATTAAAATTCTGGAAGCTTATTCTTCTTTCCTACGCTCTGACATCTTACCCCTTCTTGCCGAAGGTATCCGCACGGCCCTACGCACTTACACCCCCTCCCCCGTGTCGCCATGAGGTTCCTACGTAGCTTACCCTTCCTTTCTGTAGCCGCGCGCTCCTGCGTAGCGGAATCTTCCCCGGAGCCGCACTACATCCTCAGCAACCCTCCCGCTTCGGAATCGGATTATCGGATCCCTACTTCGTACGAGTCCGCCGTGCTCGGTCGGCGCATTCTAGCTCTCACTCCGCTCGGCACCCTCTCCACCGTCTTCCCAGACTCGTCCCGCGGCCGCCAGCCGGATGGCCTCGGCGGCGTGCCTCTCGGGCTGATGGAGTACGTGGCGGATTGCGAGGAGGAGGGCAACCCTACCTTCCTAGCTATCAAGATCGGGACCACCTTCAGAAACGTGGAAAGCGGCTCCAATATCAGTCTGGCTCAGCAATGGACCCCTCCTTATCCGCCGGACAAGCGTATCAAATCCACCTTCTTCGACTGGGTGTTCGGGCGCGACGCGGACGACGCCAAGGATAGAGTGCCGTATAGCGCCGTCAATCTCCCGCGCTACAGCCTGCTGGGCTACATCGAGAAGATCGACGCGGCCGATGCGAAGGCGCTGTCGTCGTGCTTCATAGACACGCATCCCGACAGCAAGTACTGGCTCCCTGGGAATAAGATACACGAGTCCGAGTTCGTGAGGCTCGTCGTTACCCAGATCTACTGGGTCGGCGGCTTCGGCGACAGAGCCTATATCGGCTGGATCCCCGTCGAGGAGTGGAAGAATGTCACTCGGAAGGAGTGGGAAAGTGTGAGATTACCTGGCGAGAAGAAGGGCTGGGATGAATGGAGTATTTCAGACCTTTGAGCGCCGGTTGCTCATACCTATTTGAAATTACGCCTGCAGAGCCTCTGGTTTCCATATTATCCAATATTATTCGGCTATCATGTTCGTTTCGTTTAGAGACGATTGATTTAGGATACGGCTTAAATTGTTGATAAGAAGTTGGCAGTATGATGTCACACATCTATACTCATATGTATGTACTTGGAAGTAAATAACAAATAATAATTATACCGTTAACAATATAGTTGTGGATGATAGCATGAGATCGTATATATATAAACTAAGAGGGTGTCTCTATAAATGGGCGGATACTAGTTAGTGTCACTACTAGCACAAAAAATATATAGTAAAACGCCGGAAAGCCACCGCAGAAAGAAAGAAAAAAAATTGTCTTGACAAGAGTGGGACTTGAACCCACGCGGATTGCTCCATGAGGATGTAGGAATTAAGGTGACCTTAACCTCACGCCATAACCAACTCGGCCATCTTGCCGTGATGTTCTGGCATACTAAATTGCCTCAAGTATTACTACTGCTAGAAGCTGTCTGAGTGTCTGTCTGTCTATCTGTTCGTCTAGCAATGGTCTATGCATGAAACTACCTGTTATATATACACTAGGAGGTAGGTATCAAATAAAAGTATAGTTTAGTGAAGATAATAACCAAAGAGACATAGTTACAGTGAAAATTTTACTTTTGTTCAAAGACTTTTTGTAAGTTTGTATAGTTAGATCTATTGTATCAAACACCTACCTACTTCTAACTCCCACATGTTTTCGACTAGGTAGATGTACCTTTCCGATAACAGAAAGAAAAACTAGGGAAACGGTAGAACTAGATATTACAGCCCATAAACAATGAGCAACTTACCTACTTCGAGGTAATTATGCTACGTTTTACTTATGATTCAACCTGCTCTGTCGTCTGAAGTTAGCCTGAATAGGGGATTTTGGAAATACTTATGAGAAAGCACCGTTGGATCCCCAGGCAAAGAAAAAAAAACTCTAAAAAACTGGACATATCTAATAATCTTAGGACTTAGGTCGCCTCGGGTTGACCATCCTCACCATCCGCATCCCGCGGGACGTACACCTGCTCGGGCGGGCTTATCTGGGTGTCGTAGCCGTGGGCCTGGAGCAGCTCTTCCAGATACTTAAAGATGGACTCCAAGCCCTCGGGGCCGTGGACGGAGTCGATCATGGACTGGCGAACGCCGTCGACAGCCTGCCTGAGGGCGGCGTCGTCGGAGCGCGGGTCGTTGGTTCCGAACATGGTGTGGTCGACGGCCTTGAAGGCGGCCTCGGCGACGCTCCGGAAGTAGGTCACGGCCCAGTCGGTGTTGAGCACGAGCTCGACCTGCTGGAACAGCACGCCGAAGCGGATGCGGTACCGCCACTTCCACACGATCGGCTGCAGGTCGCGCCAGGGCCGGGGCTCCGCGAGCGCCCCCGACACGTGCAGGTCGTTGATGAGCCCCTCGAACATCGCCGTCGTGAACATGTCCTCCCGCGCGTCGTACACCGCCCGCAGCGCGTCGTACACCCCCGCCTGGTCCGACAGCTGGCACCGCGTGCAGATGTACTCCACGTCGCGGTGCTCCTCGTCGTAGAACTCCTGCGGGCTGTAGAACATCAGCACGATGTCGGGGAGCGGCTCGTCGACCACCGACGCGTGGCAGTACTCGCACACCCTGGGCAGGGTTACATGGATCGAGGTTAGATCGAAGTCGGGACCTGCCATGGTGAAACGCTGAGGTCTGTTTATAGTGTCTCGAGAAAAAAAAATATTATTCGTAGAAAAGTATATAGGAGGTACCTAAGGTATCTTAGGTAGGGTTATGATGTATTTGAAGGCTTGGGCTGATTGACAACCGAGAAGGGAACCAGATCTATTGATTAACTTGGAATATATACTGAACTCCAGCCAAACAATGTCTTCATATTGGTGAGTAGCTTGGCGCCCCTGAGGGCAGCGCACCTACATATCAAGATCATTGTTCGTTAGTGAACAATGTTGAAAGGAACGAACTGCATTATTGTAAGGTTGGACCAGCATTGTGTAGACGCTGGATAGACAATTGACAAGTACCTAGCCTTTGGTAGACAGCTTCGTTGTGTTCGCTGATCATTCTATTATTGCCATTGACTTGTACCTGGTAAAGGCGCAAGCCACAGTCTGGCCAATCAAAGACTTCTTTAAACCCAAATTAGGGAATATTCACCCAAGAATCTTATTCTCTAGCTACTGGATGATGGTAAGTCCCATGTTCAACTCAAGTGTGAATGCGCCCATATCCCATGGCAATCTAAGATGACGGCTCCTAATGTATCTATCCTTGGTAATGTTTCTATTTACTACCTACCTAGGTACCTAGGTAGGTATTCATATTCATATAATACATGTACACTACACGTCAATACTTCTCTCTATCGAGATCCAGCTAACCTCCACGCCCTCAGTGGTAGACTTTGCAATACCAAAACTCTCTTCCTAATGTACAGAGCGAACGTCAACACCCCTACGATAACGCAGATGACGTTTACAATATAAAACCCATCGTGTAGGATTTCGCAAGCACCACCGCCGTGCTCGCATCGTTCCCTTTCAGCTTGAACAGCGCAGGAGAACTCCTGTGTTACGAGCGGCCCCCTGAGTGTTGAGCTGTCTAGCTTCTCCGTTGGGGGGTAGCACGTAGCTTGCGTGAAGGTATCTACCAGGCGTAAGACAAAATATCTCGGGAATGTACCACCTAGATTGGAAACTCTGCAATGCAATGTTAGTTAAGGCTGACTAAATATATGGGAAATAATACTTACGTGGCAAGCAAAGTCATATAAGTTCCGCCGATTACGGGATCGGCAACCCGAGCGTGGAATGCGGAAACAGCAACGAACATGATGGTTGAAGTAAACGTCGAAAAAACGTGCTCGCCAATGACGAGAAGAAGATACCAAGGCTGGACACCACCAGCTGGGAAAATACTAACAGTGATCTGAGCGAAGATAGCGGCGATCAGACGACCCACGAAGCCCCAGCACCAGAGGCGCATAGGTGTATATTCCTGAGACCACTTGCCAGCATAATAGCCTAGGCCTATCTCGAAAGGAAAGTCGATAAGGACAGTCAAGGCCAGGTTTTCTTTGCCAAATCCTTTCTCTAGTAACTTGAGGTTTGTCACCGCATCGTTGGCTTGAAATCCGATCTTTGAAATGAGATGGACAATGATTATGGTCTGGATATTCCGTAATTTCAAGACATCCCACATGATCTTGTAAACATCCCAAATACCATCCTCGTTCTTTGTCTTTTCTTCCTTCTTGAGAAGCGCAAGTCCGATAGTGATTGCAATGTAGGCCCAACCCCAGAAGGTCAAGTAACCTCCCAGGCTTAGAAGGCCCTCATCCGAAGGAACGGAGCGGAAGTAGCGATTGGCAAAATCGCTAGAATTAAAGGCTAGGAAGACGGTGTATGATAGGAATTGGCCGGCTGTTAGACCGACCGTCTGCGCCGTCGAAGCGTAAGAAACATTTCCCGGTGTAAGCAAAGTAAGCGCCCACCCATCAACAGCGATATCCTGAGTTGCGCACATGAAGACGAGAAAGAACCACCACCCCGTGAAATTCCAGATGCTCGGTCCGCCTGGTTTACCCGTCGTGGCCATTAAATCCTCGATCATAGACCCGAGATATAACATACTAAACCCAGATATCAACTGGATTGGAAGAATCCAGCTTTTTCTCCTTCCAACTTTAGGACTCCATACCGCATCTACTATCGGGCTCCAGAACAGTTTTAGCGAGTATGGATACGATGCCAAGCTAAAGACACCAATCTCTCCAAATGAGAGATGTTCTTTAAGTAAGAAGGGTACCGATCCACTCGCGAGACCCATAGGGACGCCTTGTAAGAAATATAGCAACACGAGCAGCATAAAATTCCTCTGATCCTGCAAAGGAAGTTCCCAGAATCCATGGTTGTTCACGGAGGGGGTTTTCGGAATGTTGTCGTCGAGGGAGAACGATTCGCGTCCTATGAGGTTTGCCGTAACCTGGCTTGACTCTTGCGGTGCGGCAGCCTTGCGCCGCAGCTCCATATTGTTCATGTCGCCGTTCGAGGGACCATTCGCGCGGCCACTCGTCGAGACTGATAGCTTATCTCGTTTTTGAGATTTCGACCGTCGAGTTTCGACACCCATTCGTAAACTTTAGCGCGGGGGCAGTGTAGATGTTATGTTGCGTTGCGTTGCGTTGCTTTTAAAGCTGATGTTTGTGTTCTTGTCTCAAATCTCTCCGGTGGCACCAATGGACGGTAAATGGGTAATAGTGGTAGTGGTAGTAACAGTAGCAGTAATAATACAAGTGTCGTTAGATTTGTGTAAATATGTTAATTATATGGTTCTCGCATATGATTTGTGGAAAGCGTCTGGTCTGTTCGATAAAGTCAAGAAGGGAAAATAAAATAGAAACCGTGGCTTTTTCTTTTAGAATCGCGCTGGAACGTGGTAAAGTGGACCTTGAGATGAAATAAAAAATAAGAGGAGTAACGAGTGGTTAGAAAGATGATGGTGGAAGTTGAGAAGGTTCCAAAACCCCAGATAGAATTGTTCCTCGTTTAGTCCATGATGGCTAAATGGTCTTGGAGCACGGATGCAGAGAAATATGTGGACGTGTCCAAATGAAGCTGAAGCTCTCAGCTTTGACCCAATGGAGTGGAAAAGAAAAGTAAAGCCAATGACTAATCATGCCAGTCATAACAACATAACACTAGAAGTCCAGGACAGCCTGAAATGCCCACCTCAATCTACCTAATCTAGATCTCCCCACTTCCCTTCTTATCTTATCGCAATTCTCACTTACATTTACGTACCACTAATACGCGTCGTCGCGTCTTCACCCGATTATCAAATCAATCAATCATCAATCAACAATCAAATCAACAATAACAGCATAATATTCAATCTCATATATAAATGACGATGTCTTCCGAGGAGCCACAATCGCAAGACCTATCTATTGCAGAAAAGTTGGATAATGAGATTGCAACGCTCAGAGCTCAAGGTAACTATCCAAAGATCATCGGTCTACCGTCTACGATATATGAAGCCAGTGCTAATATCTTCTAGTTGAATCGTTAAAACGAGATCTCAAGTTACAAACTGCTACCCTGATAACGTCAGACTCGACGCTTCAGCTACTGAAGGCTGATGCTGCGAAGAGATCAGGTTCTGAAAAGCAAAATGATAGCTCTAGGTTACAGGAGCTGTTAGCAAAAGCTGACGAGCAGAACGCTCACAAGCAGCAATGTCTTTATAGAACGTGTGCTTCTATCACCACCTTTAAAGTACGCGACCCGGATCCTAACGCCGTGGATGGTGGTAATGTTTTGGGTTTGCGATTCGAAGTCATGTCCAAGTCCCGGTTCCTTCGACCTTACTATGTCATGCTGAACCGGCCTTACCCAAATTCTGAGTTTCTGCGCATTCACCGGCATACCGTTCCCCAGTGCATACCTCTTTCTGGCCTGGCAGCTCGGTATCTACCTCCACCGGCAGCAAAGGATGACGGCAGTGACACACCAAAAAGGCAGGCTTTATCAAGCTTTGTGCGGACGTTAAGGCGGGAGTTGGTCCGTTATCACAACCGTACGGCTGTTATCGGGGACCTACGGAGCATGGCAGGCTTAGAGAATAAGAAGGGGAAGGCTAAAGAACTGGAGGTTCCAATCACCGACATTAGTGCGGCAGATGCCCAAGCGAAGCAGATCCGTGTCGAATGGAGCGACGGGCGTTCAGGACGCCTGGTAATGGATGATGATGGCGACATCATAAAGATGGTTGTACAAGGCGAGGATGGACAGGACCGAGAGACTATGAGACAATTTCTTGGCGGAAGCCTCAGAGTCGAAGATGTCGTCAAGCAGCTTGAAGGCGCTTGACCCCAGCGCAGGACCAAGAAGAAGGCAACAAACTCCCAAATCGAATGGGTCATCTATACCTTACCTGCTGATAGATAATGGACATTACGAACCCAGTATCAAGCGTACCTAGGTAACGAAGAACCCGAATATCACCAGTTGCGATAATTTCGTCCTGTGTTTAGACGCATTAAGCTATACCAATCCTAGGACGACGACTTTATCGCGAAACAATATTCCATATATCTCTACAAATCAATTAGTTTCTAAAGCGGTATTGTCAACCTAGAAATAACGCCACATTAACAAGCCTCTCAATGTGAAGACGAAACTCAACAGCTAGAGAATGTGCCTAGCAAAGATCCTTAGGTGCGATGCGTACGACTGCCAAGATTGGGGGCGCCGAACGCTTATCTTGGCACGGCTCTTGGCACTTGACCTTCCTCAATATCTACGTGTTCTGGAAGGGGGTATTATATTCAGGTATACTACGATAGCCTCATCCTAACTTGAGAGAGGTTAGTACCATTCAGGACTTCTTGGTGGATGTTGGCAGTACTGCTACACTTACATAGGGCCTACTTAGTTTTAATACAACATATAAGTTGATTCCCGCACTTTACGCCAAGCTCTATCGTTCAAACCCAATGCGACGTAATCATAGAAGTATACAGCATCTCTATGTCACTGGATTTCCGTCCCGAATTCTCTAGGAACGGATATAACGGCGCACGAAGTCAAGATCGAGAACACGTGTATTAAGCAGCAATTTCTATTCGAGAAGCGGTCTAAACTATTGCATTTGATAAATTCCACACACGTCTTGGCCATGATCGCATACGCCGTTAGTTGGGCTTGGCCGTATTCTAGTCTTGGTTCATCCAGACGCCGGAAATCCCACGGCCCATAGCGCAGAAAACAGTGGGTTAATGACCTATACCCCATGGCCGTCCTACCAATTCCTAGTCACGGATACGGCGTCCTTGTCCAATATCGAATCCGGATGTCATACCATATCTAACGCTCTCCACGGATTTTTTATCCTCCCCTCGAAGCCAAGAGCATCTCTTACAAATCCATGACTCTGAGAGTGGCCTACCTATTTACTACTTTATCTGTAGAGGCTAGCCTAACTTTTAGACTTTTCTCGGTTACAGGGAGCTTGTGCTCATCTCATCATCCTAGTATACCTCACGTAGGTTATGTTGCTGAGAGGCGAATTTAGCTGCAGTTTAACACCTTGGAATTTCTTGGCCAACAAGTGATAAAAATTTTGAGCATCTTGCTTTGTCTCGTCTTGTTTATTTTTTTCAACTGCTCCTAAAAGTCAACCGTTCCCATACTTCCCACTCTACTACGTCTTAAGATATTGCGTAGAAAAACTCGAACCTTTGTTAAGCATTACTTTCATACCTCACTGTCTATCATGGCAGAAAAGGATGGTAATTTCTCTGGAAATCCTGTCTCAGGACAGTCCAATAAGCCCCTATCCCGACCGGCTCATGCGTTGACTTGCGAGCAACTCATTCTTGAATTGAGCTCTGATAGTGTTCATGGCTTGTCAAGCAATGTAGCAAAGCAACGACTAGAAGAACTCGGGAGGAATGAGTTGGGTGATTCTGAAGGTGTTTCCGCATGGAAAATTATTGTAGCGCAGATTGCAAACGCGATGACTATGGTATGCATAATAACAAACTTGTAACGTTTTTTTCTGTTCTGGATTGAGTGTTGTTAGTGCTGAGTTTTTCCAAGGTGCTTATACTGGCAATGGCTGTTAGTTATGGTATTAAGTCTTATATTGAAGGCGCTGTTATTACTGCTGTCATTCTCCTTAATGTCATTGTTGGGTTCTTCCAAGAGTATTCTGCTGAAAAGACAATGGACTCTCTTCGTTCTCTCAGCTCGCCCACAGCCAACGTCGTACGCGATGGGGATACTAAGATTGTCCCTACTCCTGAAGTTGTTGTGGGTGATCTAGTTGAAATCAAGACTGGTGATACTATACCAGCTGATCTCCGGTATGTCAGCATTAGAGGAGGCCGCCCTCATAGTTGTCACTGACCTAAAACTTAGGATTATCGAGGCTGTCAACTTCGAAACTGACGAAGCACTCTTAACTGGAGAGTCGTTGCCAGTTCGCAAGGACGAAAATTCCACATTTGATGATGACACAGGACCTGGAGACCGACTGAATGTCGCGTTTAGCTCTTCAACGGTGACAAAGGGCCGAGCCAAAGGCATAGTCTTTGCTACGGGCACTTACACTGAGATTGGTGCTATTGCTGCGGCGATTCGACAGAAGGACTCCAAGATCCGTCCCGTCAAACGAAATGCTGACGGTTCCGCAAAACCTCACCGTTACTTAGAGGCCTATACCTTGACTCTCACAGACGCCATCGGCCGCTTCCTAGGGGTTAATGTAGGAACACCACTCCAACAGAAATTATCCAAGTTGGCAATCCTCCTTTTCGGCATCGCTATCGTGTGCGCTATCATTGTCCTTGCGGCTAACAAATTCGTGCCCCAACAAGAAGTCATCATCTATGCGGTTGCTACTGGCTTGTCGATGATCCCCGCCTCTCTGGTCGTCGTTCTAACCATTACCATGGCCGCCGGAACAAAGCGTATGGTGGAGCGAAACGTCATAGTACGAAATCTCAAGTCTTTGGAAGCCCTGGGAGCGGTCACCGATATTTGCTCTGACAAAACCGGAACTTTGACTCAAGGCAAGATGGTAGCGAGACGAGCATGGATTCCCGCTATCGGTACTTATACCGTTGAAACGTCTTCGGAGCCCTTTAATCCTACGACTGGTACGATATCGCTCAATACGCATCAGCCATGGCAAATCGACTTTGAAAAGGACGGACGCGAGACTAGCATGGCCGAACACCCTTATCAATTCCTGGAGAATAGCAAGCAAGCATTGCCCGACTTTTTACGTGTTGCTTCGCTCGCCAATCTAGCCACCGTCTCCCCGAGAGATGGCGTATGGACCGCACGGGGTGACCCGACCGAGATAGCAATCCAGGTTTTCGCTTCGCGCTTCGACTGGAACCGGCTCAAGCTTACGCAGGGCGAAAATGCGGAATGGAGCCAGGTCGCCGAGCTGCCCTTCGACTCCGACATCAAGCGCATGTCCGTCGTGTTCCGGAACATCCCCACGGGGCAGCTCTTCGCGCTTACCAAGGGGGCCGTCGAGCGGGTCGTCGCCATCTGCACGAGGTACTGCAAGGAGGACGACGGCGGCGAGACTACGGTCGAGATCGACGAGGAATTCCGCGCCAACGTCCTCAAGAACATGGAAGCCCTCGCCAGCACGGGGCTGCGCGTCCTCGCGCTCGCGAGCAAGTCCTTCAAGGACCACCTCGAGAAGGGCGACGAGGTCGACCGCGCCGACGTCGAGTCCAACCTCGTGTTCCGCGGCTTGATCGGCCTATACGACCCCCCGCGCCCCGAGTCCGCCACCGCCGTCCGCAGCTGCCACGAGGCGGGCATCTCCGTGCACATGCTGACCGGAGACCACCCCGAGACGGCAAAGGCCATCGCACTCGAGGTCGGCATACTGCCCAGCCGTATGGAGCGCGTTAGAGCAGACGTCGCACACGCCATGGTCATGACGGCTAGCCAATTTGACTCATTGACGGATGATCAAGTCGATAGTCTTCCCGTTCTGCCGTTGGTTATCGCACGGTGCGCACCGAACACTAAAGTCCGTATGATCGAGGCGTTGCACAGACGCAAGAAGTTCTGCGCAATGGTAAGTCCCCATAAAACGCGCACAACGACTTAATTAGATACGTATAATATTGTGGAATTTGAACTAATTCAATATGGTATGATATAGACCGGCGACGGCGTAAACGACTCCCCCTCGCTGCGCCGAGCAGACGTCGGCATCGCAATGGGTCTGGCGGGCAGCGATGTAGCGAAGGAAGCCTCGGACGTCGTTCTCTCGGACGACAACTTCGCGAGCATCGTAGCCGCGATCGAGGAAGGCCGGCGCATCTTCGACAACATCCAGAAGTTCGTGCTGCACGTGCTGGCGGAGAACATCGCGCAGGCGGGCACCCTGCTCGCGGGGCTCGCGTTCAAGGACGAGCGCGGCCTCTCCGTGTTCCCGCTCGCCCCCGTCGAGATCGTCTGGATCATCATGGTCACCTCCGGCATGCCCGACATGGGGCTCGGCTTCGAGCGCGCGGTGAAGGACATCATGACGCGGCCCCCGCAGAGCCTGCAGACGGGCATTTTCGATGCCGAGTTCTTGGTCGACATGCTCGTGTACGGCCTGTGGATCGCCGCGCTGTGCCTCGCGAGCTTCGTGTTGGTTGTGTACCGCTTTGGCGGCGGGTCCCTGGGCAGCGGGTGTAACGAGGAATATGGCGATGGCTGCGACGCGGTGTACCGCGCTCGCGCGACGACGTTCGCGTGTCTTACCTGGTTTGCGCTGTTCCTCGCTTGGGAGATGGTCGATCGTCGACGGTCTTTCTTCTCGATCCGGTCCGAGTCCGAATCCGAGTCCCAGTCTGACAGCCCCAACAAACCTATCGCTATCATCGTAAGGTGGGCGCGGGACATCAGCCGAAACCGGTTCCTGTTCTGGGCGATCGTGATCGGGTTCGCGACGCTCTTCCCCACGCTGTACATCCCGGGGCTGAACACGGTGGTCTTCAAGCACGTCGGCATCTCGTGGGAGTGGGCCGTCGTGTTCGTCGGCTCGGGCCTGTTCTTCGCCGGCGTCGAGAGCTGGAAGTGGGCCAAGCGCGTGTACTTCCGGCGCGTGGCTTTCTCCAAGAGGGGCCCCGCGATGGCCTGGAGGGACATGGACGTCGAGCAGCGCGCGTTCGCGGAGTACCTCGATTTCTCGCCGGGCAGCAGCGGTGATGATGATGACCATAACAATAATAGTAGCAATAATATTAGTAGTAATGGTCAGGGGGTCGAAGGTCAGCTTACGGGTGTTGAGGGACGCCAATGACTAGGAAGGGGTGGGAAACCCCGAAGTATACAGAATGGGAGGGCGAGGTTGATGGTGGTGGTGAGGTGGCGTGGAGTGGGAGAAGATGGAGTTGGAGATGGAGGGGAGGTGGAGGGCGTGAAAGGGGGTGATATGAGCAAAAAGGGGAGGGCCAAGGACACATTTACAGCGTCGTCGCTCGTTTACTTTGAAACCCGGCTCTGTCGTGAGAGCTGCCACATTCATTACCAGCATTACCAGATTCAAAATAGGGGGAAGACTCTGTGGAGAGTACTACCAAAAACAATTACTGCTATAGCAGCCAGGCAACAAGCATCTAGGATAGCATTTACTTCTATAGTCGCTCTTTCAAACCAATATACACTCAATTCAAGTTTTAAACTTGGGCTGGACTCATTTCTCGGTCTGGATGCTAATACGATGTACGGGTACAATCGTTCCAACATGCAAATGTGCGAAAATAACATAGCATCATCTTCTTTCGAGTAAGGGTTAACTGTAGGTACCTAATAAAATTGGAAATAGATCAGGTGAGTCTACCCATTCGTCCTTATATTCTAAATTCTAAACCAAGGTCCCTATACATTGAAAGAAGTATCGCCACTAAAGGTACCTAACCTACCCTAGGTGGTTTATATCTTCCAGTTAAATTGATGGTACCTTTGAGACCGAACCCCGTTCTATATCCGAATCCTTTCCGCTCCCCGAAATGCCGCTTGCCGCTGGTGTCTCGATGCCTTCCACGCGAGGGAGGTTTTGATGAAGCATATGATGCTAGCGTTTATCATATGATTAGATTGCTGAAACAAATCATCTATTCGGGAGAGGAAAGGGGTTCGGTTGGCCGGACTCACCTCGATATTGATTTTTGGCCCCTTAAACCACTTATGGGCATCCACGAAAAACCATACGAGAATCAACACCATCGGTGCGCCCTGGTTCAAGATTAGCACTTTTCTTTCTCCGCTTCTTCTCCATCCATCCATCCATCCATCCACGGGGGTCGAAGCTCACGTAAACAAGCGCAGTCCAGTTCATGTTCTCCGGGGTTAAATTCTCGCCCCGTGCGCTTGGGAAGCACAGAATAGGCAGCATAACCACGACGAAACAGCAGGCGGCGATGCCCGAAGGTAAACTCAAGGGGCCGAGGTGCCAGGGCCCGCGCCGGAAGCGGTTGCCGACAAACACGATTTTGAGGAAGATCGGCGTCGTGAAGGCGACGTATGCCGCGATGGCACCGATGCTGAAAATAGCATCGATAGCTGCTCCTCCGAAAATCAGTAGCAGCAACAGAATCCCGATCGCCGTGTTGAACCAAACTGCATTCACCGGAGTCAACGTGTGTCGGTTGACTTGTTTTAGGGGCCGGCTAACTACGCCGAAGCAGTCGTCTCGTGCGTAAGCGAAGCAAACTCGCGACGCGGCCACCATACATCCCTGTCCCATCATGTAAGCGCATACGATGGTCATAGAAAGGACGGCTAGTGCCACGTTTCGCGGCAGGATTTGGATAAGATATGCGGCGAACGGTTGGCCCTAGATAGAAGATAGTTTAGTATAAGCAGTATACTAACCTTATGTTATAAGCTCCTCTAGGCCCTTACCAGATCGCTTTCTAAGACCTCTGCCACATCTTTGATCGTATACGCAATGAGAGCGTTTAATATAAAACCGAGAATTGATCCTGACCCGGCAGTCATGACTATAGACCTTGGCGTGGCGACGGCTGCGTTTGAACATTCTTCGGAGAGGTGGAAGCTAGCGTCGTAGCCAGACATCGTCCATATAATCGAGAGGAACGACATTAAGACGGCGACACCATCAGGCCAGTCTGTACTGTTTTGGATTCCCCATGCAAACTCGTTCGGTTGGAATTTGGGGTCACCCATCGTCGCGGTGGGGATGATTATAATGGTAATGAGAAGACAGAGGAGGTTGATGGTTGTCCCAACAGAGTTAAAATTTGCAATCCACAACGTCGGCATGCTGCTGATACAGGCGTGCGTCAACATGATTAATACGGTTAGTAGAAATGTCTGGTAGTTTGTTGGTGTATAGTCGGGGTTCACTATCGACGCTGCGGCCAGAATCATGGCAGCTTGATAATAGTTAAAATGGCAATTTTCAAAGCCCAGAAACAAGCGTGGTGAATCGTCACTTACCACATCCATAATCTACACTCGGTGACCCCGTAACCTGAACGAACCAGTTGCTCCAACCAGTTATCCAAGCAGCGAAAGGGCCGTACTTGGGGCCAGCCAGCACCGCTGCTGCGTAATATAGCCCACCGGAAGTTGGCATACTACTTGCTAGTTCTGCCATCGAAGCGGCAACCTATCGAAAGAGGTCAACCCCGGTTGCGTTATAAGATTAATCCAGCAAGCACTTACACATATAATAAAGAAGACAGATAATAACCAACCCCAGGTATTCGCCGCAGGCCCCGCTAGCATACAGTCCTGTTAGCGCAATATTCTCTGCGGCATCGCATCCCTGAGCGCTATAATGTGTGAGATAGCTCACCATAACCGAGCCCGTACCACATAGTAGTAGCAATACTCGGTAACAGACCCATCACAGCGAAGCTCACAGCGAAAGTCGTCCAAGCGGAGAATTCGCGCTTAAATTCCTGCTTGTAACCGAGCGCCGCGAGCGCAGCTTCATCCTCTGACATCTCGGCGATGTGGTCTGGCATATCCCCCTCGGCGAATACGGTTGTCACCGCCGGGGTATGTGATACCGGATGCCTGCCTTCGCTTGCTGCCATTTTGAAGTCGAGGAGGGCGACCAGTGATCGCCGCTTGACTTTATCTGTTTGTTGCGTACCTCTAGTTCTTCATAAGCTGCCAAGTTCCCTACTTGAGATAGAAGAGGTGGTCGCAATTATCCAGATAAATAATTCGAGTGCCTATACCTGCTCAACGAGCCTGGATTGACGGTTGAGAAATAGGAAATAGAACCATGACAGACCACTTTTCAGGCGAGCTGAAAGGGAAATGTGTGACGTCGCGCAGAGCTGGCGGCATCCATGTTTTATGTTAGGTACCCTACTGTATCGATGGCCCTGATAGATAAGTTAGTCAAAGATTTATCTACTTTATCTCTACATGCTACCGGGCTGGCTGGGCGTTGGAGTACCTACCCCTGGCGGTGCCTATCTGACCGCATATCATTATCATTCGTGGGGTACAGAAGCGAGAGTCGAGCTGGATCTTCGGAGCTGATATGCATATCGCAGTGCTTATTCGCCAACAGCGACGGGAGACCCGAGCACAAGTCTAACCACAATCGAGATATTACTAGAGCTTTGCTTTGCTCTCCTGCTGATAAGAGGCAGAAGGATCTGCGCTAGGGGTTGTATAGGTAGATATGTCCTATTGAGAGACCGAGAGCAAGATCATGTAAACTACCTCCTACCTAGCTCTTCAAGTAGCACTGCATGTACTTATGTAGTAATACTCAGATTGGCTAAAATGCAATTGATGTAAGATGATAACTCTTGTTATAATTTAGGTAAGGTTGAATAGAGGTATGCTCAGCCATCCACGAGGACCTTGCTGTGTGGGCTTGTAAGATAATCAGGTAGAGGAGTACGGAATAGATGAAGCTTATCTTGTGTCCAAAGCCTGCGAAAGAGGGTCCCTGTTAACGCATATCATGAGTTGGCATTAGAACAGGTATGCGGTAATTGAATAAATAGGATGAGCGAAGTCTTCCATACCTTTTTTTTTTCCTTTTTGAAAAGAACATTCTCTTCGCTTTATACTACTTCTACACTCCTAAGAGTATAGAGTATACAGTGACTTATATGCAATGTTCATACCTAGATCACTTTACCTTATTGTAACAGCAGTTTTACCCAGGTACCTGATACCTAATAGTAATAGCGAAAAAATACATTTTGACTTGGGATATGTATGAGCGGGCTATCTTTGATCGGCTTGATTAAGAGTTACTTATTGTTTGAGTCGTTATCCAAGTTACCCCCATCTTATGTAATTGGCGGTTCGATGGATAAAAGGTTATTATTTCCAGCCCCCTTTTATGAAACAAATTAGATGTCCAGGCATTTTTACCTTTTTGTTTCCACATACTCTCATCTCACTACCTACCTACCTACTAAGTGCTCAATAACCAGCCGCTAGCAGCTGCAACTTGCCGGTGTAACCGTACCGCAATTTTAGATGGCGTCGCATTATCCAAGCACCGCGTCATACGTACCTACTAACGATTGCCGTGATTGGCTAGTAGAAGGTAGGGAGCACGTTAGGTAACTTAGATGCGGTAGGGTAAAAGCTTCCCGAAGTCGATTTGAATGCCCGAATAGGTACCTAGCAATGGCTCTGAGTACTACTATGTAGGTAAGGTATAATGAGATAAGGTAGGGTGTTTTTCTCATCTGATAATATGCACCAACACTGGCCGGTCGAAAGGTGGCTATTGGTAGAGAGATATTAAACTACTTGTCGCGTTACCCATTCTTATGACTTTATTATTATTAAGCTCGTGACCCTACCGTTGGGAACAATTCACCCGTGGCTTGGGATGGCTGAATGGCTGAATAGGTGGATGGTATAAAAATGGCCTCTCCTCAATTTTTATCGTTCGTGGATTAAAAAAAAAAAAAAAGAAGAAGAAGAAGAAGCCGTAGCTTAAAGTTGGGCGATTGCTAATACAATTTTAGTTTCCGTAGACCCCTGAACTTTACATAAGGCTAGGCCCGAGGTACTTAACATGTGTCACGAAGATCAGATAGTTGCATGTACACATTATGACGCAGTTTACCTGTTGGGCGGTTCTCCTATTGGCATTTAGTGTACAAGATGACGAAACTGGAACAAAAGACTCAAGACTCAATACGTGACCTGGTACAACATTTAGTATGTATTGTACCTGACATAACCTAACATAACAACATTTATATCATATATCCCTCTTTTTATTATTATTATTTTATCACCAAACTATTCCATCATATGGCCGTTTCTTTTATTTCACCTATCATTCATTTTCTACAGCGTTGCAAGGGCAGAAGTGGAGTTATGGTATTGTCATTTAGGTACGAAGCACTAGTATGTGGTAAGTATAATACTATGTAGGTACCTAACCTAGGTCCTAACCTAACCTAATTACAATAAATGTTCCTGATAGGTAGGAGCCTAGGAGGGAGGTACCCAGCAGATTAGATCTGCCTGGACGGTACAAGGATACAAGGATACATGCCTAAATCATTCCCATAATTTTCTTTTTCCCTGGCCGAGAAACGAGAAGCGACACGACGCAACCTTTTCATTACACCTCACCTCCGTCAACTATCCAACCATCTACTGTCAATTCAGTCCAACTTACGCCAGTTTTAAGCCAACTTGGCTTTGGCACCCACACCACATATTACATACATTACACATCCAAACCCGTAAATCACTTTCCCATGCAAAGCTAATCTTTTCCTCGTGGCCACACCAAATCCCCGGTGTTTCCGACCTTAAGTCCCCCTTTCCCGTGTTGACCAGCCTGCTGGCGTAACTATCGGACGAAATGAATGCCATACAGCAGAAATGTCGTCCCAAGCACCAGGTCTTGGTTCTTAAGTGCTATCCTAGCACCACGAAGGGGGCCGTCGATGTTAAGCCGAATTCAAGTGAACTGAGCTATCTTCTGTTCTACGCCACATCGCGACGATCCAAGATCCAAAAAGTCGGCCAGTTTCTCGAGAAGAAGACGGCCAGCGATGTATGGAGGGTGCGCATCGGGTATGTTCTCCATCCCCGTAATAGTATAACGCGAATAATTTCGGAATAGATTTAGACGTATGCGTCGTAACCATTACATTTACTGATAATACTGACCATTGTTTAGAAATGTCCAGGTTACCCTGCAAATACTCGCTGCTCTGATCGAAAAAGCCCCCAAAGATCTCCCCTTATTCGCACAGAATGTCCTCCGAATATTAGACCTCGTTCTTCGATCCAATGACATCACTATGGTAGAGGCGTCTCTGCCTACATTTCGGACTTTCTGCGAGCACCACGATGTCTCATCGCTTATTGCCGATCAAGCTTACCTCCGCCAGTATGAACAAGTTGTTCGTGCTTATGCCGCGTTCGCGTCAACTCAGAATGTTCCCGACAAGGCTACAGCTAGCAAACCTGTTGCCCTGAGATGGAGAAATGCAGGCTTAGAAGCAATCAAGAGCGTTGCCGAATCCGACGCGTTATCATCCGTCGCCGGACGTCAGCTCGACGTTATAGTTCCCATGATCCTCGAGAATCTGTGGACTGATGACGAAGAATTCCTTAATACTCTATCACAGCGTGTCGAGGGGGAAGAGAAGGACGATCCCAATGCCCTGCTGCGACGGAGAACTAGTGTTTCCACTATCAAGACAGCAGACAACGGAGGTGACGCGAACCCGATAGCCATTTCGGGCACATCTGTCGATATCGACAAGCTTGCCGAAGAAGATATCGGTGTTATGGCTATGCAATGCTTGAAGCAGATATTTATCATACCCAACAGAGCACAGATAAACGGAGCGACGGCAGCGCTGCTCAAATTCATTAAAGAGCGTGTTCAGCAGAAGGAGCCGGTTGTAATACACTCCGAAGATGGCAGTGGACGCAGCCGTGGCTGGGCAATCAAGATCTTTGAACTTGCAACAAGATGGGCACCGGTACAGGATCGCTATGTTATTATGATTACTACTACCGATACGCTCCTTCGAACCGCACCGACCGAAGAGAACATGGCAGATCAAATCGTACTCACCGCCATTATCGGGTCTTTACTGAGTTCTGACATCAACTTGATCGGCTTGAGTGTTATGGACGTACTCACTGGGTTGATACAACATATGAAGAGGGTTTTGAAATATTCAAGCAGCTCGAGGGGAAGCAACGTTTCTTCGGGAGACGAGAAACCTCCTTCGGTCACTGATCTCTCTCACATCTCGATACCGTATAGAGAACTTTTGACTCGAATTCAGCAGTCGATTGGGAATCTGGCTACTCATGTGTACTACGCCGACCAGATCTCCGACATGATTTCCACCATTCTCTTACGTCTTAAGCCTCACCCAAGCACGGCAGCAAACGCGTCACCAACCCCTGAAAAAACGGATGGTGTACCCGGAGTATCCGCCGGCAATGTCTCGGATGATCAGTCTCATCTTGACAGTTATTTCGCGTTAGATGTGGCTAAGACTACTGCCCTTCGTGCAATTAAATCTATCCTTCTCGTTGCCAATCCGAAAACGAAGGTTAGCGGAAACGTCAGTCTGACGAGAAACAAGGTGCCTATGCAAGTATGGGAGGGTACGCACTGGCTCCTACGGGATCCAGACGGACAGGTCCGAAAGGCGTATGTTGACGCTCTTGGCACCTGGCTTGACCGGGAAACGACCAGTTCCGATTTAATAGCGCGAGACGACCTGGGCCAGAAACAACGAACGAGTAATAGAGAAGCAACATTAGCTAATACTGCTCGTCGAGTTGTTTCGAGTGCCTCGGCTCGGGATAAGCCTGCTAAGACTGCTCGATCCCGCTTCTTACAGCTTCTCCATCTCGCCATATATGACAGTGCTCGGCAGTTTGTGGAGTTCCAGGCGGATATTGCTGTTCTCCACGTCTTGTTGACCAAACTAGTCAATAAGCTCGGCGTAAACGCAGCCAGGTACGGTGTTCCGATGATCTTTCGGCTCCAGGAAGATATTCTAGAAACAGAAACACCTGCAGCGAAATTCCATCTTGGATGCCTTTGCCATGGCTATTTTTGGGCCTTGAGTGAACACTTCGAGTTCGAAGCATCACCAGTCGGCCGAGCGATTCACAACGAAATCGTCCGGAGGAGAAGCAAGCATTTTTGGATTGAAGGTGTTCACGTTCCGACGCCGTCACTAGATCTTTTAGAAGCACCCGGCTCGCCTAAAACGAAACCAAAAGTGTCCACGCGCGAAGTCGAGTCGGAAGCATTGTTGCCTCTCGACGACCGCGTTGGACTAGTTGACTGCATATGCGCAAGCTACAAAGAAAGAGCCGTCTCTCCTCCCTCTAGCCCCTCTCAGTCTCCTGGCCGTTCGTTCTCTCACCCAATCCTAGGCTCCACAATGGGCGCCATACCACCGGCCAACGAGGAACACGAGCTACCGAACAAGTTCAGGGAGGAAATGCTAGCGGATTGGAACCGAGAGGCTGTCATCCTCGCGCTGCAAGCCGAGAGCAAGTCGGCTTCTCTTAGTGGATCCAAAGCCGGGACAACTGCTACCAAGGGAAACCATCTTACCGTTAATGGGCTCACGTCTAACGGCTACGCCTCCAGCAGACCAGAATCTGCCTATGCTCGCCAGAATAACCTGCGTCCTGCTTCACGTGCTAGCCATGCCGCTGCTTTACGGAATTCTAGCGCGCAGAGTCACGGCTCCGGGAGGACTTCCTCTAGTCGAGGTCTCGTCGCTTCCGTTGATCAGCTCAAATCAGTTTTAACCGGTGAGGTAGCTAGGCCTGCCACGTTCCAGACGTTGCAAGAAGATGGTGATAGCAGTGATAGCATGGCGAGCTACGAGTATTCACCATCGGAACTTTCGTTCAATCCGAACCAGGCAGATGGCGGCGATGCTAACGACGCAGGCCTTACGCGTTCGCGGTCAAAGTCTCGGGAGCGAAAGGCGTCGGCAGACTCGGGAGGTCCTCTGACTTCTCATCCTATGGAAGGTGATACGGAGGATGAAGGCGTACCTCCAGTACCGCCGCTGCCAGCAGACTTGGTGGGGAAGTCGCCTCCACCTGAGATCAACGTTGAGCGGCTTGCCAAGGTCTCAATCCACGACTATGGAGCGAAGGCTCAGAGGAGCATTAGAAGCCGAGGAGGAGATGGCATTCTTTCAAGTCATTTCTCGAACGCGGGGGCGGCCAGCATGGATTTACAAGCGATGCTCAAGGGCATCGATAGCAAGTCTAAGCTGAACACGCTCGGAAATCTGACAAAGCCCCCCTACTGACAGTCTACATTGCACTGTTGCTCATTTGTATCGTTTTAACTATATTTAGATTTGTTTGGTGCACAAAAAGATGAAGGCTTACTCGAAATCTCGTAATGGTATTCTCAGGGGAAGAGTCAAGTTTGCGCGGGATGAGGTGTTGTATACCATTAACACCGAGGAATGTTACAAAGGGGGGAGTTTCGACAGCATGGAAAGAGGAGGAAAATGGCAATAATGGAAAAAGACTACTTGCGCGAGGGCAACTTTATCTGAGATTAACACTTGCTTGTATATACTACTTACACGTCCTTTTTTTTTCCTTTTTAAACTTGCGCCAGTCTTTCGTACTTTTTCTTTTCAGAGCGGTTGATGATTTGGGTTCCTTGGGGGAGGGTGTTTTATTGACCATCCGTTATGGGGTGGTTGGGCTGGTTAGCGATAGAACGAAAGAGCATATCAATTGAAAAAAAAGCGAAAAATTTAGACAAAAAAAAGAGATGGTAGATTGTATAGTTAAGTGTATAAGTGTTTGTGTTAGATACCTCTAAACAGTAGTATATCATATATCATAATTATATATCATTATCATATGCTATTCAGGAAATGCTAGTTCGATTCTGATTGGTCAAATTCATATCCGGGGCATTAAAGCTCTTGCATAATCGATAAGAGACTATGCGTATTTATGTAAATTTCTATAAGGCGAATCCCACTTCTCGACGTCAAGGGCAGTTTATAGATTTCATAAACCATACCATACCTTACCTTACCTTACCTTACTTCTTATAACCTTGACAATTTTCTCTGTTGAGAGTACCTAGATATATACCAAAAAAACAAGTGTCTATAAGATATTCCAAGATGAAACCGCCTACTCGGATAGCGCTGCAATCGGCGGTGCTTCGGCAACAATTCCAATCTTCGCCAATAGCAGCAGCAGCAACAACAACAACCCTTCCCTTATTAATAATAACAACCCACCAGCGACAACAACGCAATATCCATACCACTCCCCCCGCGCCCGCCACTGTCTCCCCCATCCACGGCACCGGCCCGCCTCCCGAGCCCCCCGTCCCCGCCGTCGACAGCGCCACCTCGCGGATCGAGCGGCGGCGGAAACAAGCGGAGCTCTTGGAGAGAGCGCAGGAGATCAGACGACAATCCTCCCCCTCCTCGTCGTCGTCGTCGTCATCTTTAACCGCGGCGGGAAGAAAGGCCCGCGACGCCAACCTCCTGCGCAAGCGCTTCTGGAAGGAGGTGCACGTGCGCGAGGTCGACGGCGCGTACGAGGTCCACCTGGACGCCCGGCCGCTCCGCCGCCCGGACTCCAAGCACGTCGTGCGCCTGCCCCGCAGCAAGCCCCTGCTCGCCGCCGCGCTAGCCGCCGAGTGGGACGCGCTGGTGTCCGCGCAGCAGGCCACGCGCCAGCACTTGATCCCGCTGACGAGCCTGGTGTGTCGGGCGCTGGACATCGCGGACGAGGACGCTGCTGCTGCTGGTGCTGGTGTTTCCTCTTCCCCCTCTTCCCCCTCCTCTTCGTCTATCCGGGAGGGGCTGGCGAACATGCTCCTGCGATACCTAGACACGGACTCGCTGTTGTGCTGGGCTCCTCCGGCGAGAGAAGAAGAAGAAGGGAGGGGCGACACGCTACGGGACAGGCAGAAGAGGGCCGCGGAGGAGGTCGTCGGGTACCTGACGCGGCGGGTGTGGCCGGGGGTGCAGATCGAGCCGGTGCTCGACGGGGAGAGCATCGTGCCGCGGCGGCACGCGGAGGTGACGCGGCAGGTGGTGCGGGGGTGGATCGCGGGGCTGAGCGCGTGGGAGCTGGCGGGGCTCGAGCGCGGGGTGCTCGCGGGCAAGGGGTTGCTGGGGGCCGTGAGGCTGCTGGTGGAGTGGAGCGAGGGGCCGGTGGGTGTCGGTGCGAAGGAACAGGAACGCGAACGGGGACCCGGCGAGAAGAGGTTCGGCGTGGAGGAGGCGGCTAGGCTGGCGAGTATAGAGGTCGATTGGCAGACGGGGAGGTGGGGAGAGGTCGAGGATACGCACGATGTCGAGAAGGAGGATCTTAGACGGCAGTTGGGGAGCGTGGTGCTGCTTGTGACGGGGACGGGGGCTGGGAGGAAGTAGGTTTTGTGAGAGGGGGGTGGGATAGGACTAGGTGTATGCATGATGTATGTATATTGTAAATATATGTGCTCTATCCACACGATGAAAGAACTGTTTTTTTTTTTTTTTGTTGGACTTATCAGCATCATATCTTATGTTTTTCAATGCTGTACTTGCGTTGATTAAAATCCTTGCTACTATCTTTCGCGTTTCCCCTCAACAGTTATAGCAAAGTAATACGCATCTTCGGTGTCAAACCTATACAAATATTCAACTAATATCAGGTACGTTTCTGAGAATGTGCTCGATTGGCGATGTTTATCTACCTACGTAGGTAGTCTTAATAATAGATTGTCAATACTATATATTATCTACTTGTTACTTCACAGCGATATAGCAGCAATAAACGTGCTCGTCTAGGACTCTTTAGGTTATAAGCAAGTTCCATATAGGTTATCTTCTTGTATACATGTTGTTGATTGACATGATTGGGAGGTAACTGATAGTACACATATCTACCGCTCTTCAAAGAGGTACCTATACAATGTGGTTTGCAATTGCGGGCGCACACATACGGAAGACCACGAGTCGGAGTTATGCAGTACTCTCTTTCGGCCACGAGGAACACTATGGCCCGAGTCCACAGTTTCCTTATGTCGATGGCATTATTTATTTATTTATTTATTTATTTTAGTATCTGACGCATGTTTTGTGAATCATTTTCTTCCGTTGGGTGCAGTATGGCTGATGTAGTCTTACTCCGCCGTAACGGAAGAAATATCCCTGCTATCGGAAAGCTCGGGGTTGTCAATTATATACCAATGGGAGGTAAAGGGGCGGATATAGAGGCTTCTAACGGCGGAATTTATTTCATATCGTCCGGACCGTCTGATCTCTATTATTCCAGTCTGTTATGGTTCGGTGGTGTCCTTAACCCCGTATTTTGCCTCCCTATGCCTCCGTCACGGCGGAATTAGACGCCAGCCTAACCGTCTTGGAATCTATATCAACACTTATGTGCTACGGAGTAAATCAGCATAATGTACCTGTATTTGAATTATAAAATGCCCGTCTCCTCTCTCTTTTCGACTTCTAATCAAACAACAAATATTCGTATTATCATTTAATAGCCTAAAGCTTGAACTATAGCAATGTCGGTCCAACCAACATCACGAGAGCTCTTCATCTTCAACGAAGGCAAGACTTTCATCGAGAACATCACTGTCCGCACCGACGGCACACTCCTCTTGAGCACATTCGAAAATGGCCGCCTCTACTCGCTAGACCCAAAAGCCGCTGCTCCGAAACCCGAGCTAGTCGCCGAGTTCCCCGGTGCAAATGGCATAACCGGAGTCGTTGCGAATTCCCCCAACGTCTTCACCGTAACCGGCGGCGAGCAGAAGCCGTTCCGGTTCACGCTGGGATCTATGAAGGTGTACACCGTCACCCTCCCGGGGCCCGGCCAGCCCGCAGTCGTGAAAACCGTCGCCGAGGTACCCGACACCGAGATGCTCAACGGCCTCGCGGCGCTGCCCTCCCGGCCCCACGTCGTCCTGAGCGCCGACTCCATCCGCGGCCGCATCTTCCGCATCGACACGGCCACGGGCGCCGTGGACGTGGCCTTCTCCGACCCGGCCCTGGAGCCCGACGACGCGTTCCCGCTAGGCGTCAACGGGCTCAAGATCTTCGGCTCGCACCTGTACTTCGCGAATTCCGCCAAGGGGTCCTTCGGCCGTGTCCCGATCGGCCCGGACGGCAGCAAGACGGGGGACGTCGAGATCGTCGCGCGTATCCCCGGAGCGCCGGGGCCTAGTAACGTCTACGATGACTTCGATATAGCGCGGCGGCCTGGTGGTGGTGGTGGTGGGAATCCTACGGCCTATGTCGCGGCGATGCTGAATAAGGTTTTTTCGATCGACTTGGTGACCGGGGAGCAGAAGCTGTTCTTCGGCGGAGGCGATAGCACGGCCCTCGTACGGCCGACGAGCGTTGCGACGGCTAAGGATGGCAAGAGCATTTATGTTGTCACGGCGGGTTTTGAGGATTTTAGCGGACCTGCTAAGGGGCAGGTCGTGGAGATTCCAATCTAGGTAGTGAATACTGGGAGCTGTAAGAACTTGAGCTGGTAATTAAAACTACCTAGGTTAGTAGTTATTTACCTAGTCTTGAAAACCAATACCAGCCAACATAGTCATGTTTACATTCCATTAACTAGCAGCATGCTGTTAGTCAAGGTTTTCCTCTCTTAGAATATCGCCTGCGCGTTCGGCGGCGACGATACACCACCGGGCATATTAAGCGGCATGGAAGTAAAGAAGAACGACCACCGGTTCAGCTCCTCGCAGATCTCAGCTAGTCTCTCCAAGTCAAATAGCTCTCCTGGACAGCAGAGTTTAGTTTAGTTAGATGAGAGAAGGTAATTCCGTCATTAAGAACAGGTAGGTACCTAAAGCAAAAAGTTCGAAAAACTTACCAATAGGCATCCCCCATCCGGCAAGCAGAACATCGTGCAGGAACACGTCGCTCTGCGGCGGATACACCTCCCACGACAGCGCGTCGCCCGCCACCGCCGCGAACCCGGTATCCCACAGCCACCGCAGCACCTCCGCAGTAGCCTCCACGCCGGCGTGTTCCGGGGCGCGCGACGCCGCGTACGCCGTCTTTGCCGCAGTATCCATCCCGTGCTCCCACTCTCGTATCGCGCCGCTCCGCACGAGCAGGATGTCCCCGCGCTCGAACGCGAGGTCGTGCTCGCGGGCTATGTCCTGCATGTCCCGCAGCGTGACGGCGTGCGTCGAGAACGCGGAGTACCGGATGCCGCGCCGCGCCGCCCAGCGCGCGTAGTCGATCAGCACGCCGCGGCCCGTGATCCCCTCGCGCGCCCAGTGCTGCGTGCCGATGCGGTCGCTCGACCGGTCGAGGATTTCGTCTTTGGTTGTTCCGCCGTAGAATACGCGTTCGCCTTCCTGCTCCTGCTGGTCGGCTGGAGGACCGGACTGTTTCGCGCTCCAGTGGCGGAGACCGTCCCATTGACTGCTTTGCTCTAAGATTATATCGTTAGGTCCCTCCGCTATTCGAAAATACTTACCTATCTAGGTACCTACCTAACTAACCTACCTTGATAGGTACGTGCCCCTCGGTATGTAGGTTAGGTTAGGTTAGGAGGTAGGTATATATGTATGTACTTACGAGGATTCATCGTATAAACATCGTCGAACGCAACGCCCCCTAGGATCGGCACTATCTGGTGGCGACACGGCGATCTCCCCAGATTCGGGAACTCCAGCTTCCGCACGTCCCAGTTCAGCCCGACGCGCCGGCCCGTGCGGATCTCCTGCGCCGCCGCCCGGCGCACGCGGTCTTCCGTCAGCAGCGCTAGTCGTCCGAGGCCTTCTTCGCGGCTTCCCGGTTTCCCGACCCAAACGCGTCTGGGATCTGGGAGCTCGTCGAATTTGAGATCCATAGGGGATTTGTGTTCCGTCATTGTTGGTAGGTTGGTTAGGTACTTTAGGTACCTATATTGTTTTTGTTGGGGGGGGGGATATGTCTTGATGGGTTTTGCAAGAGAGTAAGGTATATATCTAGAGCACTTTACCCCGGAAGTAGAGGTGGCGATCGACAGCCACGATGTACAATACAATATGCTACAACGGCATTGGGGGAGTGTCTGAGTGACGTTGTGCTATCCAATGACGTCTGCTCCTTGATGTCATGTTGACCATGAGACATATGCGGATCGAGGAGGAGACGCAGATTCCCCAAATTCTAACCCGCTCACTTGGCGAATACCTACCATATCCCCTCCCGAGGCTATTACTCATGTACATATGTTGGTTGCAGGCAAGTTGCCGGATAAGTTGACATACAAGGCATGTATACCATGAGTAATCTGATGTTATTAAAGAAACTAAGGGGGTTGTTATTTGACGATCAATAGAAACAATTGAACGGTTCCATCACACAAGAACGAGTGTCGAATATCGTTATCGATTGGCTTAGTCGCTCATGTGTCCTAGTTGAATAAGGCTACATACGACTATGTTAGTTGAATCTACAAGAAATGCCCAATGCCGAATCCCCACCCCATCTTTTTCTGTCCTTAAAAAATAAAAAAGAGCTTATCCCTTCTAATACGCCGAGTCCGCGCCACCTATGCTGTACGCTGTTGGTGCGGGCAGTTTCATTATATATGATATATGTACACGTTGAAGTAGTTAGTTTAGTGAGCCCGATTTAATATAAGGTACCTAAAGCAAGCAAGCGAGCGAGTGCCTTCACGCAGCCTTCGTATCTTCCATAGCCACCGCCGTCCCTAATTTACCATCCACGCCCGCCGCGGTGCCCTTCTCGCCGGCCCGCTTCCTCAGGACGTTCTCGATAAAGGCCTCGCCGGCCTTGTAACTGCTCCTGACCAAGGGGCCGCTGGCGACGTACAGGAAGCCCATGTCGAGCGCGCGCTGCCGCCACATCTCGAACTCCTCGGGCGTCACGTACTTCTCGACCTTGAGGTGGCGCTTCGTCGGCCGCATGTACTGGCCGAACGTCACCACGTCCACGTCGGCCTTGCGCAGCTGCTCCAGCGCGTCCATGATCTCGCGCTCCTGCTCGCCGAGCCCCAGCATCATGCTCGTCTTCGTGATGATGCCGTCCCGGCCCCGCACCTTCTTTACGTGCTCGAGCACCTGCAGGCTCGTCTTGAAGGTCGCCCGGCGGTCCCGCACGTACGGCGTCAGGCCCTCGACGGTCTCGACGTTGTGCGCGTACACGTCGAGCCCGCTCTCGGCCACGACCGCGACCGAGTCCAGGTTGCCCCAGAAGTCGCTCGTCAGGGCCTCGACGAGCAGGCTCGGCTTCTTGGCCTTGATCTTGCGGATCGTCTCCGCGAAGTGGTGCGCGCCGCCGTCGGCCAGGTCGTCGCGGTTGACGGTTGTCAGGACGACGTAGCCGAGGCCCCAGCGGGCGAGGGCCTCGGCCGTATTCTCGGGTTCGTGGGGGTCGAGGGGCGGCGGGGCGCGGCTAGTCTTGACGGAGCAGAAGCGGCAGCCGCGCGTGCAGGTGTCGCCCATAAGCATGATGGTGGCGGTGGCCGCGTTCTTGTTGCTGCCGCCCCAGCACTCCGAGATGTTCGGGCACCGGGCCTCCTCGCACACCGTGTGCAGGCCCAGCCCGCGAAGGTCCGACTTGATCTTCTTGTAGTTGTCGTTGCCCGCGGGGATCGGCGTCTTGAGCCACTCGGGCAGCCGGGTGATAGTGCGCCGGTTCGACGCGGGCCCGACCTCGGCGGTGCGCAGCTCGTACGCATCGCTAGCGGGTAGAGGGGACGAAGACGAACCGGGGAGGAACTCGTCGAACGAAGCTACTGTCGTGTTTTTGAAGTATGTCGGACGTCGGGATGGCTGGCTGGAGGTGGGGAGAGCTTGGTCCGGGGTATTCGTTGGGACTGTGGCGTAAGAACGAGAAGTATTCCGAGAAGCCCTCGAAATAGCACGCTGGACAGGCGCACGCAGGCGGTTCAACGAGGTCGACGAAGATGCCATGGTCGACAACAATGTCAATAACAATAACAATAACAAATCACTATGTCGGCCCACGAGAGAGAGACTTCACACAGGGCTGGTGTTGACGGATAAAATAAGAAATTAAATAGGTAGGTAGGTAGGAGGTACCTAAGGTAGGAAAGTTGAGATAAAATAAAGCGACGATATCGATTGATTACAATTAGAAATCCCCAACTTTTTTTAAGGTCCCCGCTATTGGTTGTAAATCCCACCCGCCGGATCGGTTAGGACCGGAGGCTATTGCCGCTTATCCTTATCCTTTATCGGAGGATGCAGCTGGCACCAACTGAGAGAAAATCAGGGTCGTCTTAGCTCTCTTTTAGTGCTTTGACGTCCGCCAATCATCAATGTCGTCATTTACAGATTAGGAAGTCATTGTAGTAGTTTATTAAGAAGAATTATAAGATATACATACCTAAGTATATAAGTAGGTAGAATTGTTAGCTGGAAAGACTTTAACAGCCAACTCCGCATTATATAGGTACCTAGGTATGCAAGAGGTAGAGGTCAACGATTAACTCCTTGATTTTAATAAAATCCATAAATGCCCATCCACAAGGTGGCTTATAATGTTGCTATCAAGTGAGTTGTAGGGTGTGGTGTGTATTATGCTAGGTTAGGGATTTAGCACTTTCAAAGGTGCAAACGCGCTCTAAACTGTTTACTTGATGTTGTAAGTTAAAAGGACGGAAAATAGGCAATTGAATCGTGAATGGTATAGTAATTCTAGCCATTGGTTGTCTCCTTTACCATATTGAAATATGTACCTGAGATAAATAGATGCCAATGAGGTTTTGATCACGATAAAAATTAATATATACAGGTAACAATAAGTCGCAGCCGTAGCTACTCAGCGCGAAATATTCATATCACATTATATAAAGCGTGAGGACAAAATGGCTTCAAAGATTATATTGAGCTAGATTTTGGTAGCGTTTTTCTCTTCCGCGCAATGCGCTGAGCTAGCAGCCCCTTTTCCTTTTCCAAGCACCAGAGGGAAATCCTGAAGCGACAACACGCAAGGTGTAAAACGTTTTTTTATTTTGGTAAGATAAGAGTCAAAGATCAGCAGACCTCTTCACATGGGGTGAATATACGATGTTTTCAGATGATAAAAAAACCATTTCCTCCTCGTCCGCAATTCCACCTCGGGCCGTTCTCGCTCGGCGAGAGTTCAACAACGGGGTATCTCAAGACAATACGAAGGCAGAAGAAAGTAAAAAGATAAAAATCAAAGGGTATGAAGGTGCCTCCGTAGCTCCTATCTCGTGGCTCATAACCGAACTCCGTGATAGAACGTAAAAAAATGGGTATTGTTTTTGAAGTGAAGATGCAAGTCCAGCCAGCAACGCATTCTCGATCTCGGGCGGCCTGCCTCGTTCCCAAACCAACGTCCAAGTGGCACATAGGAGTATGTAAGATCTTGCAGAACTATAACCAGCCCCGAAGCCGACAAGGGGTATCGGAAGGTAGTGAATGGTGATAAATGTGTGCGGTAGAAGGATAAGGCCAGTTCCTTCGGGGTCTGCAAGTCCATCCGCCTGGGAAGAGAAAGACGTAATAGAACGATCATCACAATCGGCGATGCGAGCGTGTGTGCGATATAACATGTTCGTCGAGCATACATGTTGCCGGTCCATTGATACATTAAGGGGGATTTACGAAAAGACATAAAAGCGGCACCAAACGCTCCGCACCAAAAGAAAGGTCGAGAAGAAGCGATGAGGAGAAATGGTGTTTCATTCGTGATAAATGGCCGAGACTGGAGAGGGATAGGCGATGGTCAACGAGACTTTTAGGCTTCGCGGCTGGTTGCTGCCACTAACCATTTCGCAATCCGTTGCCTTGTCGCGTAGCGTGACCAGATAGCGCTGAAAACGAGGAGTGCTGATTTTTGACAAAAGAAATGAAGTGAATGGCGCTCATATCGAACATTTAAAATAGACGTCGTGAAATTTGCTTTCGTCGTATCCCTTTCGCCGCTCGTGCGGCGAAGTTGCGCATCGCATCGCGGTGCAGATTTACATCAGCGCGGCGACGATAATACCAGCCAGACCAGCAAGCGCCATGGGTGCAGAACCATGCGACGCGCCGCTGTCGTTATTGTCGATAGTAGGGCTGACAGTGGGCACAACAGTTGTGGGCGTACCATCAGAGCCGGTGGTCGTCGTTGTCGTCGTCGGAAGAGCAACAGTCGAAGAGGAAATATAAGAAGAAATAGTGCCGGTAGGCAAGTAGAAGGAAGTCGAGTTTGCGCTAAACGAAGTGAAGACACTTGAAGTCGCAACCTTCTTAATTGTGATGTACTTTGTCATCGTCATGGTAGACGTGGTGGTAGAAGTCTCTGCTACCGCCAGCAGGGGCAGCAGCGCGGTTGCGAGAATAGCTGAGATCTGCATTTTGATATACTCCAGTTCTAAATAGCTTTCGGAAATCCAGTGCGTTTCTCGTTACAAAATCGTAGATACTAATATCAATGCGATGAGATATGTATGTATGATTTAAAGGATGGTTAGTAGTAGTGAAGTGAATATTCGCTACTCGGAGGTCGGTTAAGACAAATATTCGTGATATCGTGAGATGGACTCTGCCAACGAAGCCCTGTGAGTTGGATGAAATGAGCGCGCGGGAGAAGTTGAACTTGCGAAAAGAGTGAGAGGGCGAGAGTGAGGGTATCAGGTAGTTTAATGAAGGAGTGAGGGAAAAGGGTGTGGTCAAAGGAAAGCGGGCGGGAAGCCACGATCCTTGTTGCGCGCAAATGGCGAGATTAATGGGCGATAGAGAATCGATTCAATCAAAGCAGGGGTACGAGTTAGTGCTACGCCTATTTTGTACGCTAGTCTCCGCTAGTCGGCTAGGGACCCCTGGGGATATAAGGCCAGCAAAGCGTCAATATGCACCAATCATCAATAGTTGTCGATCCCCATTATTCTCGACTGCCTTGTCAGCTTGTATGGTAGGTTGTCTATTTGTACATATATTAGGTCATTGTGCTAGCCTGGGCACGCGCTCGTCAAAGAGCTACGCACAGAGGAATTGTAAGTTGACAATAAAGGACATTTTTTACTACTACCTTACCTAACATAGTAGGTACCTACCTCTATTATCTATGCAATTCAAAGCTGCATCGATCCGGGATCTAGACATACATATACAAGTAGCTAATATAACAAAGGGATCAATGTCTAAGAATATACATGCTGATACTAAATATATTAGAGACAAATTCAATAAGAGGCGTAAGGGGAAGCGTTGTACGATACAATACAATTACCTAGGTACCACCTTCTGAGGTCTGGGTACCTAGATCGTGACCTCCAGGTTAGGTACGATTCAACGACCGACGGATTGCGGATCTCATCCTCCGATTGCACAGGGCAACGGAAATTACATACCTAGGTACCTCTGGCAAAAGGGACGGGAATGAGCATGGCTCGCTTGGAGACCTAGCGCAAAGGTTATTTGGCTAGTCTGCTAGTGCTCCTACCAGTATTATGCATCCCCTGTACGATTTGTAGTCCATCATCCAAAGAAGTAGGGAACCTACCAACGTCTGTGCCCAATTTGGGTCATCCATGTTCTTTCTCATCATGTTATCGTAGACTTGTATACACATGGCATAGCGCATATGAGATGAGGTTTAGTAGATATAATAGCGTCGAGAACTCGAAAAGATTTGGTGGGTTTTATGGGTGTGATAATTTATTAGGATCCTTTTGACGACGGCTATTTTTGATTAAGTAGGTCAGTCGTGTCTTCCTCCTTTAACAGGTCCGCTCCTTTAGGTACGTTGGACAGAAATTTATTCCCTCATCAGCTAGACTGCTGCTGTTGGCAGCATCTAACTAACTGATCCCAGGGCATCATCCAATCCCCCAATGCTCGAGGGGTCTTCATAAATGTTACTAAGATTGCATAATTTCTGCTTGACCGGGGTTCGTGCAGGACGTATTACATTACCTGCTTGACCTGATTGGCTGTCACGCTTGGTACCTGCATATTTAGGTTCTCTTCCGTTCCTGACTAAACCCGAATGAGATTTCTGTCAAAAGATTTCTGTCAAAATTCAATTTTGCCCCAGACTGGTCCGAGTTGATCTTCTCCAAGAGACACTATTCAATGGCTTCAAGATTTTGCGGAGAAGATCTGCCTTAGATAATGGCAGATACGGGAAATCCATCATTTAACAATTGCGATTGCGATTGCGATGACGCTATCGTCCCTTTTGCTTACATATTTAAATTGATTTTACGGAATACTCTCGGGCTACTTTATCTATTCAGTGTATACTTTAGGTAATTGCATACCTCTCTAGGTACCTAGGTACCTAACCTAACGGATCATCTTTCGTACCCAACTCCGAACTGCGACGTGGAAATACCTACAGCAGTAAATTTGAACCTAACATCTAGTAAGCTGTTAGCCCATTGACATGTGTTGCGAACAACAATGCACCACGTCAACTTCGGCTTGTTACTAGAAGATGCGCCTAGACTTCGAGCCGTTTCCCAGGTCGGGACTGGTACATCTACAACCTATCATAGGGTTCCACGCGGTGCATCCTGTGGGACCTCTGACCAATACTGCGGTGTCGGTGGTCATCATGAGCTGAGGGCTTTTTTTTTTTTTTTCCTTCTCCCGGGCCTACTCTACCCCTTGCTCCCTTTGTCTTGGTGTACTCCATATCGTACTATAGTACATACAGCTCACCGACACAAACTCACCCGTCTCGGCGAATTTTGAGCTGTCCCGTTTATTTCAGCCAAAAAAAAGGTCCCCCAGCAAGTCTCACCATCAAAATCATCATGGGTAGCCCTAGTAATTTATTTTCACGATAACCTCAGAAGCATGTCCTATAGTTGAGGATTTATTTCCATTATTCCCATTTTCAGGGGCCATAGCTCCATAGCCGGTTCGCTCACCTACTCTTTACACCTTTGCCGTTGCGATTACGGTTCCTTCTGCCAAGCGCGATTTTGCCAGAAGAAGAACCCCTTAAAAAAAACTGAAGAGATTCAGAAACATGAATGATCCCAGTGAGACGACAGCCGTTTCCAGAAGCAAATCTCTAGGTCGTCAAACTCGCCCATCCAAAATGCAATTACCGAGTGGTTTATGAAGCTCACAGGCAGTTTGCTCGCTGTCGCAAATCCGATGTTTCAGCGCAAACTGAGCATTGCATGGATAATGACGTGGGATAAATGGCTTTCTTGATAATTACCACTCTGTGAAGCTTACCGATTTCGAATCTTCGTTTGTCGTCTGTTCCAGACGGTGTCGTGCATAAAAGAGTGGACTCGAATCAGATTTCGCGGGCCGACAGCCTTACAATAGATTGTCAAATTGCCGATTCGTCACCTCAGCTTGTCGCAGATCATCGTCATCTTCGGAAAGTAGGATCTGTCTAGTGTGCTCCATCATATGCTTCTTTGAACGTTCTCCCACTTCTTGATATCCCTTCTCTGGATGAAAACTCGTCAAAATCCCGAACACTTTTAGCTCGCAGCTTTCTCCAAATACATTTAGGTTGAAAGGATGCCGAAATGATTATTATTACTATTATTATTATTAATGAAGCAAGCTATTAATTTACCTCTTATGTTTCGACTACCTTGGACACCATGGATTGTCTCTCCTCTTTAGCGTCTAGGTAGTATATGTAGCAGATGGGCCTTAGGGGTAGTTTCCGAGACGACAGAAGGGCAAAGCTGCTCGTCAGAGTTAGGAGTGAAACCTCACGTCAAGAGGCTTCTCAATTTCCAGCATCACACGAAACTAACATAGTTACTACTTCTAGTGAAGAACTATATTTTCATAATATTCCAGGTGTCTTTTATCTCAAGGTACGCCACTTCGAATCGCCGCGGAAAGCATAAGCTATCCCACTAGGTAGTCCTACAGCAGATAAATCTCGGGTATTTGCATCGTGCGCGTAATGAAAAAGCGTTTGCAGCAGTCAAGAACTTGAATGTCTTTGGTATCTAACTCATCATTTCTGATGTTTGAACACTAGGTAGGTGTGCTTATGCTAGTCATTTATGTTAACGAATCTCAAAAATACGTCGAGAATCTGTAAGTGAAGCTTCCCGTCAGGTGAGGCGTATAAGTATCTACTTACAACATTGCAGTGTCTCTCCTTATTCCGTTCCAGCATCAACTCAGCATCAACTACAATGTTGGCAGGAATTGCGTTTAATGGGTATTCTAAGCACAGCCCAACAAAATATGTCAGAATGGCATTCCGTCGCAGCCACTCATGAGGCCACCAATCACCGTAAAGCGTGTTCGACACTCAGGAGGGGAAACGGTGACCATTATGCGGGCGACCGGTCGTAGAATCTGACCGGTGACAGACACCAGAAGCATTTAAACAACATTTCTACGCGTAGGGAAACGAATAATTATCCGGTACAGACAACATAACTAGATGTTGGCATTGAGTTGTTGAGAACTTTAACCTTATAGCAGAAAGGTTCGAGCTCAGAAATGGCGTCTCCAGAGTTGTGTCACCCAACCAAAAGCTGTGCTGAAAGCATCGCGGCGCTCCATTTCCTCCATCCAATTCCTGTTCAGCCGTTCTCCAACCCAGTGACAGATGTTCAACGTCGCTCGATACACTACACTTTACCTTTCGAAGTTGAGCGCAGCCTTTGTAGTACGCTCGCTTTCCTTGCGTACCCAAAGGACGACAGTAACAATATACCAGCAGTATGCTTGGAAGAGGGAGCCGGCGGTGCCTACTTGAACGTCTTGCTTGCTGTAAATCAACATAAATGCAACAGTAACTCTTGCGTTCTTGAAAAATTGAAGAAAGGATTTAAGGAGATATTTTCTCTCCTTGCTGATGCGGATGGTATTAAGTCAAAGTAAATATGCAACTCATATATGATCTTACTAATTACGTTGGTTTAGATGGCTCATTAGCCATAGAAAACAAGGTTTTCGGAGCCATTGTTTCTATGTGTTCAGCTCGAATCCTTTCCCGCTTAGGTCTGATTCGAAGTCGCAATAATCAGAGACGGCCAGTCAAAGAAGATCTCCAAGATACACTTGGATACTTTGGAAGAAGTGCGGCGTACAAGAGCGCTGGTCTTTACTCATTTATTGATAGAACAAAAGAAGTGGTGAAGCTCGCCGACTCTTGGATCAAACATCGAAGGCAACCTGAGCTGGAGGAACTAATTAAGGGCATCCGCCATCTTGGACAAGTTGAAAACTTCCATGATTTAATCAACACCATACCTAGCAAAGAAATGAATCCGAGCTCCAGGGCTCATCTCATTAATACAATTAAAAAAGTTGCCCGATACCGTGAAGCAGCGAGGTTCCTATATCGCACGGCTAAAAAGATTCCTCTAACCCGAAAAATGCATCTTGTGCCTGTCCAATTATCCCCAGAGTCGTTCAATAGAGACTTCGGTATTGACTCTACATCAGATCTTCAAACGGCTATTTCACCAGTCGACGGGGCCAAGGAGAAAAAGAATCTGGAACTAGTCTGTCAATTATTGAAAATTGATAAAGATCAAGCAGACAGACAATTTACTGGACAGGTACGGAAAACCATGCAGGAAGCAAAAATCCATGCAGAGATCCAGCTCCTCTATTACTGCGAATTCTACATGCGACCTGACGCGCTATTACCTCGAGTGGTATGCTCAAGCAAAGACGCCTGTTGGCTATGCAATGAATTTATCCTCATGTATGAGAAGATACACACGCCAAGGTGCCATGGGAGGATATACCCGGGCTGGCAACTACCGGCCCGGAACGAACATGAATATCGCAATTTGGCGACGAGATACAGTACCCGTCTTCGGGGTCATATTAGCATAGGTTTGAAAACGCTATTTAGGAGAGGGAAGAGGACCACGTATCTCACTCCGAATGAGAGTACTTTGCTTTCACTGCAATGGTCACGCTCGACATTGCACATTGTGACATCTTCTCCTGACGCTCTGGATACTTCAAGCATTATTGAACAGGATCCTCATGAACCTGTGCTTCCCGCCGAGGTATTAGTCCATGAGTCGACGTCGGTTGGTAATGGAAAGGGTAAGGAAATAGCGACAGAAATGGATGGGAGAACCTCTGACGCTTCACCAGTTCACACGAGGGAAAGCACGGAGAAACTGGACGGAATAAGCGTAGCAGAGACTTCGAACCCCATACAGAGCAGCTTGACACTTGAGCTGGGCCGTACCAAGTCGAGAGAGATTAGGATGGGGAAGACCTCTTCACTATACAAAGCAGGTCCCTTGGATGTACAGATCGAATATGCGGAGAGTTCAAGCCCAGAGTCACCAGATAGACATCGGAAGAAACTTTCGTATACTGTCGAGTTATTGTCACCCGAGGAAGTTGAGGAACTGCGACACGGGCGGGAGGACCTATTTGTTGACGCAGAGTTGCTTGAAGGTGAGGTAGAGCATAACACGGGTAGAGATGGGTGCGTATACATTGCTAACGGCGATGCTGTGGTGAAAATCTTCATGCAACCAATAGTCATGGGGTAACGGTACGTAGTATCCAGGTAGGAGCGAGACTACCTACCTCTAGTAGGCATGATTTTTCTCATCACAAGCTTATCTACCTAGGTACCTAAGGTATAGAGAATGTCAGTTGTGCTTACGGGCAGTTTAACCCTTCTCTGATTATATGAACTTCGATAGAGAATGATACTAACCTCAGGGCCTACATAGATTCACCAAGTATAATTTATAAGACTTAACCGTCAATAATACTTATCCAAGATACACATAGGTACCTGCTATTCCTGTTTCAGTAAGGAGTTCTTCAAGGCATTTGATTAAACTGGTGCAGGGAGTCCCTAAGCCTTACCCCAAAGACCATCGCGTGTATCTTAGACATGTGATGCCATATCTATAAGCCTAAAGTCTTCTTGGTCAGAGGCTTTGGATGACGCAGGAATGTTCAAGAAGCTCTTCTAGCCAGCCAGGTATGTAGCTCTTAAAAAACACCTAGTATACTGCTTTGAATTTAACACTCGCTTATTCTCACTCCCTATTACTTGATTTTCTTTAGCAGTCAGCAGTTAGACTAGTTAGCCCCTATTTACTCCTATCGTCATGATCAAGATATTCGATTCTAAGTAGCGAGTACTTTACTCTCGTCAGCTACCTTTTGCCTGGTATCAGGATCTTTCATACGGTACGAGTGAGAGTATCTATCTACCTAGTCTCGGGAGGCCTCGCCTCCTGTTCAGCATGTCAGGGGGTACATAGGAGCAGCATAGTATGGGCCGGGGTTAGATTTACAGGGTAACAGTATATCAAGGGCAACCGTTAATGGATCACTTCTACCACATCGCTGCTGTTTCTAGTATCCACTCTACGTATGACAACCATCGTGAGAACCTAGGAGGGCAGTAGCTAACACTTCGACAAGTTTGACGATGGACTTATCCCCTTTACGGAAAGACTTGATGATAACAGGGAACAGCTTAACTAAACCTATCGAGTGTTGTGGTTAGTTACATAGAGTAACACTGATCAAACCATAAATCTTTTTAAAGATATTGACATCTATTGGGCGCTTTCTTTCTGATATAAACCTGAAGAAGTCTGGCAGCTAGAAGGTAGGTACCTTCTAGCTAAGACGTAGGCTACCATGGACCCAAAAGAAGGGATTGTAACCATACCTATGGTTGACAGAACTCGGTTGAATGCCAGCTGTCTAACCCCGTAACGAACTCCGCCCACTCCCCATCACCAATACATAACATGACGATAATCCCACAGCTTCCAACTAAAACATACCTGACCAGAAATATCTCCAACTTTAAGATCAAGTACCCGTTATACAACTCCGACCCAAAGATAGGTTAGGTACCTGTACTTATGTTTCTTGGTGCCCATAGTTATAGGAATGTAGTTGGGTACCTGGCTTACCAGCAAAAGCTGCCACGCACGCATCCATACATCCTATCATACTCTCTCTCTCTCTCCGTTAACGCATCCCCTACACGTAACACCCCGACACCCCATTGGCCCAGAACTCCCGAGTCCCGAGTGGTTACCTACCTTTAACGATACCCGGGTATGCCAGTGCTTACTTGGAACTTGGGATGGACCCTACGTGCATGCAGGAACGTAGCAGCATTTGTCCTGTCCTGTCCTCCATTCATCCAGCCAGCCATCGAAGTAAGATCCATGCGGTCCACCTTGATACACCACATAGCATATCCCCTTCGGTAGTACGGAACGGGCTAATTGGTTCATAGTCCGACTACCTTCGGTTAGGTCGGTAGGTACCTAACTTGACCTTACACTATACTCGTAGTAAGGGAGAAACAGAAAGGAGAGAAAAAACAAAAAAAGAATTTACCTGGCGAATGCAGGCCTCGGTTAACAGCGGCACATGGACATAGCCTTACCGAGGGAACAAGGAACAACCTAGGTAAATCACTCGATCCCGACTTTAGAACCACCACGCTAACTTCACGATACCTATCCACAAAACCCTCGTCTCGACTCTGGAGGCAGGGGGGGATAACCTCTAGGTACCTGAGGTAGATATTCTAGCGGAACAGAGAACTCTATTAGTAATATATACTAGTTATATAGAGTCAAATCTACGCATATCTTGATCTAGCGTTCTCATTCGTCTAGATCAACATAAAGAAAAAAAAAAAAGTTCCAACGCTAGCTATCTCCTTTTTCCCTTTACTCCCTCCTCCTCCCACCTGCCAGATCTAGCCCAGTTAAATGGGCCCAGATGCATACACCTCGCTTGCGTAGTTGAATAATTTGCACGCCCACATATGTGCATACCTAACCTATCCCCCCCCAATGATGATGCTGATGATGACGATGTTGGTGATTCTTAGTCAAACCCAACCAAACTGCTCCCTTGCATGTTAAAGAAAAAGACGTTAACGCTGTTGAACGGTTGTCTCCCGAAAAAAACGCCTTATGCCCCGGAAGAGTTGATAAAACTCCGTTGCCACCCCCAACTCTACCATATTTGTGTGTTGAATGGGCCCATCTAATCCGCCGTACGCCTTTTTTTTCTCTTTCCCTTTCTCCATGATGTTGAAAACTGGATATCATTCATATATGCGCTACGCCGGAAAGATGCTGCTGCTAGGGAAAACAATAATCATTTATGTCGTATCCTCGACTGGTGGACAGGTACAGAAGAGGTTTAAGTCGCCGTATGCTAGTTTCGTAGTTAGCCTATCTGCCCCCCTAGAATTTCAGATGAACGTAATATGTGTAGGTAATAACTTACCGTCGTCTACCCTTGTAACAGTCGGCCAGAACTTCTTCTCCTTAAGCCACGGCAGAGGGTATGCCGCCTTCTCTCGCGAGTAGGATCGCTCCCACTTGCCACCCTCACCGCCGTCGCCTGCAATTAGGTCCTGCATAGTGTGCGGCGACATCTTCAAGACATTGCCCTCGCGCGGGGCCTTGCCCTCTTCGATTTCGCGAATCTCCCCGCGGATACTGATCAGAGCGTCGATAAAGCGGTCAAGCTCCTCCTTGCTCTCACTCTCAGTCGGCTCAATCATTAGAGTATTGGCGACGGGCCAACTCATCGTTGGGGCGTGGAAGCCGTAATCCTGTAGACGCTTGGCAATGTCAATGGCCTCGATACCAGCTGACTTGCTGAAAGGTCGGGCATCAATGATGAACTCGTGAGCACAACGTCCGTGCTCATTCACGTATAAGATCTGGTAGTGGGGCTTGAGACGTGAGAGAATGTAATTAGCGTTCAGTAGAGTAATTTTAGTAGCTTGGGTGAGACCTTCAGCGCCTACAGGATGAGTTAGTAATCTATCCTATCGGGTAATATTAAGAACATAGTTTGAAACTTACCCATCAGGGTGTTATACGCCCAACTGATGAGGTTGATACTGGCGCTACCATTGTTGGCGCTGCTTACCGCATAGCCACCGCTGGCTGCCTTGCCCTCAGCGTTGGGGTCCCTCGGAAGGTAGGGTTGAAGACGCTGCTTTACGCAAATGGGGCCCACGCCAGGGCCGCCTCCGCCGTGTGGGATACAGAAAGTCTTGTGAAGGTTCAGGTGGCATACATCAGCACCGATCTCTCCCGGAGAGCAGAGCCCAATTTGCGCATTCATGTTTGCCCCGTCCATGTAGACTAGACCACCGTGTTCGTGCACTAGCTCGCAGACCTTCTTGATCTCGGGTTCAAACACACCAAAAGTGCTAGGGTAAGTAACCATGATAGCCCCGAGCTCTTCCTGGTGCTTTTTGCACTTTGCTTCGAGATCTTCTAGGTCAAGGTTGCCAGTAATGGTGTTACATTTGATTGGTACCACCCGCATACCAGCCATGGCGGCAGAAGCAGGGTTTGTACCATGAGCAGATACAGGAATAAGGCAAATATCCCGTTTCTTCCCACCATTTCCTTGTGCCTTGTGGTAGTCTCTGATTGCTCGTAGACCAGCGAATTCACCTTGTGCTCCCGAATTTGGTTGAAGAGAAACAGCATCCATTCCCGTTATGTCACGTAGCTGACCTCGGAACATCTCCAGGAGGCTATTGTAACCCGGTACAAACGCCTGTGGGGTATACGGGTGAATCTGAGAGAATTCAGGTAGCGTGATAAGCGACATTTCCGTGGTTCCATTAAGCTTCATGGTGCATGAGCCAAGAGGAATCATGGAGTGGACAAGCGACAGATCCTTGGACTGTAGATGGTAGATGTATCGTAGTAATTCGGTCTCTGAGTGGTGCGTATTAAAGACAGGATGCGTCAAGAAGCTTGAGGTTCGTTTAAAGGCGTCTGGGATATCTACCGAATCGGCATGCTTTTCGAGTATCTGACGAACGCGACCCTCCGCCGCGTCATACGCGGAAGCATCGATATTAACAGCCGTAGTAGCAAATACTTGGAATACTTTGACCAAGTCATCCAGTGTTGTCGTTTCATCAATCGAAATACCAATTTGCTGCTCACCAATTTGACGGATATACATTCCGTGTTCATGTGCTATGCTCACGGATAGAACCTGGCGCTCTTTGGATCCGACGTCAATAATGACTGTATCGAAGACAACGCTGCCGTCGTTGCTCCACTTGCTCTTCTGCGTGGCGAACCCGTGTTCTTCGGCAATAGCTTGCACAACTCGCGCCCCTCGGACAACTCGCTCGGCGATTGCCTTGAGGCCCTCGGGACCGTGATAAATCGCGTAGAGAGCATTCATATTAGCCAAAAGCGCTTGTGACGTGCATACGTTACTAGTCGCCTTCTCTCTTCGAATATGCTGTTCTCGCGTCTGCAGTGCTAACCGATACGCCTTTCCACCTAGTCGGTCTTTAGACAAGCCAATCAATCGTCCAGGCATCTTCCGCTTGTGCTTCTCCTGAACGGCGAAGAAGGCAGCATGCGGGCCGCCAAATCCCATCGGTACACCAAATCTTTGCGCGCTTCCGAAGGCGATGTCAGCCCCCCATTCTCCTGGGGGTTTGAGCATGGTCAAAGCCAGCAGATCAGTGGCAACGCTGAGAAGGGCACCTTGTTTATGTACCAAGTCGGCCAGAGGCTGGAAGTTTTCTACTTGACCGTATGTGTCAGGATACTGGACCATAACACCAACCAGATCTTCGCCGATGTTCTCAATCTCGGTACGTGCTTCATCCTTCGACAGGTCGAGCTCCGATATCTTGATACCAAAGCCGTCCGCACGTGCACGTAAGACGGATATCGTCTGCGGGTGAAGGGACTTAGAGACGACGAAAGTCTTTCCTTCTCGTTTAGCTCTCTGCGTCGACAAGGCGTTCATAGAGAGGGTCATTGCTTCGGCAGCGGCGGTGCCTTCATCCAAAAGACTGGCATTGGCTATAGGAAGCCCTGTCAGGTCCGTCACCACAGTTTGGAAGTTAACGAGGGACTCCAACCGGCCCTGACTAATTTCCGGCTGATAAGGGGTGTAGCTGGTATACCAGGCGGGGTTCTCCAGGACGTTTCGTTGAATAACGGCTGGCGTATGCGTTCCATAGTAACCTTGACCGAGGAAGCTCTTCTTTACTGTGATTTTGGACTGGTATTCCTTCACCTTCGCCTTTAGACTTGATTCACTTTGTGGCCCGGTATGGGGAGGAATATCAAGCTTTTTCTTGGATAAGATGTTAGGCGGAATAACTTGCTGAACAAATTTATCCAGATCGTCGACTGGGGGCGACAGAGCCTTCAGCATCTCAGCAGTATCATTTTCATCAGGACCGATGTGGCGACGAGGGAATGTGTCCAGGTCGGCATAACTCGCCACTTGCGTCCTGTCAATGGTAGTGAACGACCGTCTCTGAGTAGCCGTTGCTACGGCCTTGTAAGTGCAGCTATGGCATATCCATGGAGCTGTACGCTGCAACCGAGAGCTCAAGGGAGTTGAAGCCCTCAATTTAAGAGCTGACCGGCCTAAACGGCCAGGTATAGCCCTTGCGAAAGACACCATCTTCTAGAAAAGACCTTCTTCCTCGCAGTTTACAACAAAAAACGCAGGGGGGAGGCGAAGCACAGGACCTCAAATAAATGCCGAGTCGAGCTTTATGCGGTCATGCTGCTTGAGAAGGTTAATAAACAACGACTAGACCAGACCGTGAACTACTTGGTATATGTATTAAATAAAGATTAGGGAATAGGATTTGCTAGATAAATTTTATCTTAAAAGTAAGAAGGAGGTAGGAGGTAGGTAAGGTTAGGTACACTTGGAATATATATGTGTATTACCAAGATCAAAGTACCTTAAGTACATCATGTACCTATCATGTAGCGTGCGTTAGAAGGAACCGCCGTCATCGGTCTAGCAATTAGCTCGAAATATGCGAGATAACAAAAAGTTGCGGGTCTTTCCGGAGGGAAGTCGCAAAGCCGATAACGTTTTCCTCCGGACTTTGAAGAGTCTGTAGTGGCGGGGACCCACCTGGCGGTGTATCGTTAGGCGGTTTGGGATGATTTAGGTGGTACATCAGGGTATGTTGGTACCTAACTGTAGTGAATGGGACAGCCCATTCTCCTGCAAGTGCTTTCTCCATCAAAGTCTTGGAATGGGCAGATGGGACGATGCATGTGCTACGCGGTTATGTAATACGGATTCACTTGTTCCTGCTTATCGCTTTAGCGCCATTGCACGATCTACAGGGATTTTGTATTCTTTATTAAGCGGCTTAAAATGAGCGCCGTATGGTTCATACATAGTACATCGATACTGTAAATGTGGGGTAAAAGGCTGCTTTCAGCTGCAGTTCGTCACCAATTAAAAAAAAACAAAAATAAAAATAAAAATTCGGTGGCACCGACGAACGATTCAATACTACTTACTATTCGCCATCGTCCGGTGACGAAACTTTTACTCCAAAACAACGAACTCTCTCTAAGTCTACCCACACGAAAAAAGAAAGAGCAATTTAATTCAAGATGTTCGGCGGATGTAAGAGAAATCCTTTCATAGGCTTTGTCGTTATCTATCATGGCTAACAAAAAGATACGATAGTCGCACCACCCCAGTTTTCAAAGGAAGAGCTCGAGCACCACGAGGCTGAGGCCGCTTCCACGGTCCAATTCTTCTTCGGCACCGCTATCCTACTCTACCTCTGTATGCTCCCTCCCAGTCCCCAATCCTGCACTACAATTGCGCAATTCTAACAGACGTGTTCTATTAGCTCCTTTCGCCGTTGACATCGTCTCGAGTGTATTCTAAATTGGCGGGGCGCATAACTTTGTATAATTATGAGGCACGGCAGCAAAATACCGGTTCCCGAAACGTGATGAACTATAAGGGCTAGATGGGATCTGTATCACTATAGATATGGAATACCCTTCCATAAGAACGTCTCGCGGGTTACTCATTTTCAGGTTGTTTTAGTATATAAAGCGGAGGCATGATGCATACATATCAGACTTAGGTACGGTGTCATCGGGCACCTTGATACTCATAGAGGGGTATACAGGGCTTGTTACGTCACTGCATAATATAAACCCCATACAGGTCTTCCATCTTCTCTCATATGTAAACTATTATCACGTCCCTAAACGCTGCATCGTCTTGTGAAAGCTCATAGTTTCCACCCCCCAAGGATGAAAGGAATGCGGAACAGACAAACCGGGATATTGTCATCTGATATCAAAAGCAGACGTCCCCAAACGCCAGGCTCTATGCGGTTTCCTATAGCCAGCTTGTATCTGTACACCAACCAAGTTCCCATGACCCGAGATCCCGCGTCCTATTAGTAAACCTCATCCCCGTATCTCATGTTATAGGGATACATTTTCGTATTCTCCCCCCTATTAAACCTTATCTACTTGCTAGGGGGCGGGTTTGTTTCAGTCCACTCATCATAATCCTTCTTTATCTGCTCCAGCGAGGTTTTCAGGGCTTGTAGTTGCTTGTCAAACTTCTCCAATATCTAAAGTTACCATATGTTAGCTCTACCCTTATATATCATGCAGACTGTGGGATAGACTTACCTCTCTAGCTTGCGCCTCGTTTTCCTCTCCTATTCCCTCCTGGACTTCCGCGCCGCGCTTGTTAATCTCGTTCTTGAGGCTATCGGAATATCCCTTTAGCATTAGGAGACGGCTCCATAACTCCTCTGTGCGTGCACTAAGAGCCGGGTCTGTTACAGCCCGGTCGAGGGTCTCCAATTTCGTCTTCAACTCATCTTCCTCCTTATCGAGAGAGTATCCGCGGTTACGCAAGACCTGTACCTTTGTTGCCAAGGCTAGACATCTCTGTCGTAGTAGTGCGTGCTTTCGTCGGGCATTGGCCGTCCGCACGCTGGTCTGCAAATCATGTTGCGAGAGAATCGCGTCTAAGCTAGAGTTGATAGCATGTAAGGCCTGTCTGAATTGTCCTAGGACCTGTTTCTGCATAGTAAGACGCTCGCTAACAGCTTTAAACCCGGTAGCCAGGGCAGGCATATAACCTGGACCTGGCTTATCGTGTACAGCTTGTTCCCATTCTCGAGGGTCTTCTGCGGGAGAGGGTTGATAGAGAGGGATGCGCGTTTGGTCGACCTTATTATAGAAGTAGTACTTGAATACCGTGTTCGGATGTTGGGGATGCCACTTCTCGAGCATTCTTTCGACTTGCTCTGTAACGGGCTTGTGGACTAGAATCGAAAAGGGTCAGCTCAATGTCACAAACGCAATTCGAAGTAATGGTAGACTTACTCAGTGACTCTCGGCCTGGCTCCCAAATTAGGCTCGAACGCTGTACCGGTGCCTGGCTCGCATTCATCAACCCAGAAGCCCCAAGCTGCTGCTGAGGTTGTTGCTGCGCCTGAGGCTGACCCAATATACTCCCACCAAGTGCATTGTTATTTGGTTGGCTGAGCGTGTTTCCAAGAGTATTTCCGAGGGTATTCCCCCCGAATACGCCTCCACCGAGTGTGTTGGTTTGTTGTTGATTCTGATTTTGCGGCTGGTTTGCTGTCTGACCGAAGCCAGAGGTCGTCGTAGATTGACCGAAGGGTGTTGTAGTTGACGCCCCGAAACCGGTAGCGGGAGGCTTCGAGAAGATGGAAAAAGACATGGCAAAAGCTGGGAAATTGGTAGACTGGAGCAGGAGGAAGCTTTACTCAGGAAATGGGAGAGCTTGTAAGAGGGATCTTGCGACGGAAGATTTCGCGAAGACGAAAGTCGCGTTTAATGCGGGTGGAATGAAAGAATATTTCGGGTTTCACCTCATGACGATCCTTTGAATGATTTCTTCACCAGATGCGAGAGGTTTATATCTCGACGTGAATTAAAAGAATAAAAAAAAAAGTATCTCGTATTAAATCCCAAGTGGTGTTTTGGGGAGTTTTCCTGGTAGTTTAGCAGCAGTGTTGCTCAAATGTATTGTACACCAGAAATTCCATAAACAAATCCTAGCTCCGGATTCAATTAGCTTCAGCCTTAAGTGTGGCTGGGACCTCAGCTTCTCAGATTATGTACATGTACATATTGATGTATATATGTACCCAAGTTGATTCTGGCAGTTAACTATTACACGGATCTCCACCTGCATGTGCTTGGTCCAAGATAATAGCCCCATGTGGCTGAAGCCAATCAGCATTTCCAATTTGCTAACCACCGGCTTCCGTCATTTCGCCCGTTCGTCAATCTGCTCCATTTCCGAAGCTTCACTCCAACTTACGACATCCCGCCGAGAACCTCGTCCGTATCGCAGCCATGTCGGCCCGGAAGCCAGTGTATGTTTTATAACCAAAGCTCGCCAGTCAACAACACAACGTCAATCGATATGCCCCAGACCCTTCTTTCCCGAGCCAATTTTATCTCTCTCTTATAATGAGCACCCGTCGCTAACTTGTTTCTTAGCTTCAACCAGCAGGTTCTCTACGACACCACTCCCCTGCCGGACTCTATCCCCCCGGTTAAGGAGATCGGAGCTACGTCTGCGCCTCTCCTCTCGGCTTCCTTCTTCATCGGCGCCCGGTGCCGCCCTTACAACGATGACTTCATGCAATGCAAGAACGAGAACCATGGCAAGGGCGAGTTCGAGTGCTTGAAGGAGGGCCGACGAGTAACTCGGTGCGCCGCCAGCGTGATCGACGATATCAACACCCACTGTCTAGACGAGTTTCGCAAGCACTGGCAGTGCCTCGACAACAACAACCACCAGCTATGGCAATGCCGGAAGGACGAGTGGAAGCTCAGCAAATGCGTATTTGATAACCTGGTGCGTTACTTGCTATATACTAGTATTCCCCAAGTGCTGTTTTTTTATGGTTTTTTGCTAAATTACGCCGTAGAAACTTGAGAAGACTATCCCCGATACTGCCAAGGGCCAGCCCCCGGTCCACCTCCGGACGAAGCAGATCTACGCCCACTATCCCATCTTAAGAGACCGCGGCCAGCCGCCGTTCGGCAAGGCCATTGATCCGCCTTCAGCACAAGCTCAGGCTGATGCGCCGACATCATAAGGTGCCCTGGTTTAGGTAAGGGGCTTGAAGTAATGAGATAGCCGTGTAAATAGCAAGAATTGCAATCGGGTTAAAATCCAATTTCTCTAATTTACCCTCGTGGGAGCGGCTCCCATGCCAGTCCGCCTCCTATGAAAGGTACGAGTAGCATGCCTCCCAGGAAGGCTACAGAGGCGACTATTCAAATGCTATGCTATTAGAATAACCGTGCTGGGGAGCTTTACAGTAAGGCATCTAACGCAGTGAGAATAGGTACCCCTATAAAGGTAACTCATCTATAAGTACCAATACGCATCGCATAAAACAGTAGTTAGGTACCTAAGGCAAGGAGTTGAAGTAGCAAATCAAGCAATGCCTAAGGACAGATCATATCAACCATATAAAACAAGTTTCTAGGATGACTACCTAACCTAGATAGATTACCCTGGTCTACACCATTCTGAGCAATTGCAAATCAAACGACGAACAATACTCGCATATCCGCCACGTCCCATGCCAACAATAACATAGGTTGATCGCTCCGGCGAGGCAATTAGGCCGGTGTAGAAAGACCTTGAGCTAAACTTGGCTAGCATATTCAACCCATACCGGGGCTTACACTAAAAGGCGTTTCTTGAAGAAGACATTCTTCTTAGCTTTCGAACCGCCAATATGACCTGTCAAATCGCTTCCCAATCTATAAAACACGTGTGTGATATTGATTAGAGTGCTTCGTAATGGTGGTCTAGCAGTATACGTATACTCTATTATCATGATCATCCTCGTAGGTTGGCTTGATAATAACAGCAATAACGTACGGGACCATGCAGCAAGTCGTCTCGAATCCCATACCACGAGCTATCCAGTCGACATGACTAACCCACGGCAGGGAGTGGTCATAGGCAATAATGCCCCGAGCCTCCCCTCATGCTGTTACCTGCCTTCGGCAGCATCCACACGCGGCAGTTGCGTTAGGTAGGTAGGTGTGTACCGTATGTACTTCTCTCGGCTACCGAGAAATCCCAGCAAGCACCCGACGCTGTAGGAAGTCCTTCTCCTTCGTCTGCCCTAGCTGCCTAAGTCGTGGACATGACACGTTCACAGACGCGGGGGAAAAAACTCTAATCTAGATATGCACGCCGGCTTGCAGATTCGCGAGGCCGACTTCATTGGCCGGCAGGAGGTACAGGCAAGATAAAACAAGGCTTGTTATGTTGCTCTGCGTCGGATACTTCCATGCACAGGGACAGGTTCCTCGAAGCGGTGTTACGTGTCTGTATGTCTGTCTGTCTATATCCTGTTACCTCCCTACCTAACCTACCGGACGAGTCTACGTACATGATGCTTTCGACAAGCATAGGCTTGTTTAGTTTGGTAGAGAGTTGCTAGCAATGCGACTAGACTGCATGCGTGATCATATCATATACACGTCCGAAAAAGGGATGCCGGATCGAGGGCATAAGTAATATATTTGTAATATATATCCCGTTTGACAGTCTCGCCAACCAACCTTTGGCTCACCACACGCTCGGCCACATCCACGGAGCAGTATACTATGTACCTAAGGTACCTATGCATGCTGCCAGGCGGCTCGACGCCACGCATACGTCCTCTGCACCTCCTATTGACGGGGACAGTCTTCTCCGTCTACATAACCCGCATATCGGCCGTGTGCCGCCGGCCTGGCTACTCGCGTCGTTTGATGTTTGGCTTTGACGGGGACGACATCCCGTCTTCGCACGAAAGTTAATCTGGGCGTGCCACTTCAGATCATCCCCCAAGGCGCGGCGCAACTCCGGCCACAGAGTGGATGCAATGTAGCCGGTCCAATTCAACAAGTGATCCCATTAAGTATAACGCCTCTTCGTCAAGGATAAAAAAAACCGGCTCAATACTTACACATTGCGTCCCGCGCGGGGTAAAGCTACACAACACGGGTAGGTTAGTTAGATCAAACGCGACGTTCGAGTGAGAACTTTAGTCTTAGGAAGGTAAATTAGGTTAGGTTAGGTACCTGGGTAGGTGGGTATCTATGTATGGCCATGATATCTTGTCTGGGGTTTAGTATATGATTACGATAGGTCATACGGCTGCAAGACGTCCGCGTCATGGTTAATGGGATATCTATATGTGTATTTGCCGTAGGATGTAGGAGCATGTCGCAGTTCGTTTTGTCAGCGGCTCTTGGCTGCGAGGATACACACGCCAAGAAAAAAAGGGCTTGCTGTCACGAAGGATGAGAGAGAAAGACAGCTTCTAGAAGTGGCTTAGGTGGCGTAACACACTTGATCGAGAAATCCGACTGCCACAAGTAGCTATTCCGATGTTTCGTTTTACCCCTCTACGACTCCCGTACGATCCAACATGGGCTGCTTCGGCTCTTTCTTGATCCCTCTGAACTTGGGTTCGACTAGGGAGGTTGAAAATAGTTGGACGGTCCATTATTAGAAACAGTAAACAGATGGAGAAAAAAAAATAGGATTTGTCGTTTCCCGTCCCGTTTACCCACCCCCGCAAAAAACGACGTGAATAGAATGCGACACTGGCTTGGCTGCCGCACTAGCAGGTACAATCTATTTGCAACGGTGTTGGTATGTTTTTGGTGTTTCGTTTCCTCGTTTTCTCTCTCTGCAGCGACTACATAAGGTGGGGACGCCTTTTTAAAGACAAAGACAAAAGGAGCCTCATGGTTGGTTTGTATGGAGGAACGTCACCGGCCAACGGTTAGCAGCGTGAACTTGGAAGGGAGAGGCACACAAGACAAGGTTGTACATACCATAGGTATTCAAGACCCAACTCTGGTTTCCCGCGGTCTGCCTTGCAAGAATTGAGTATCAAACAAAACGTTCGCACTCATACATAACGTCCCAGGGCTAGTCCTGTCTCGGTCCGGGCCTAAAAAGGCACGGAAAGACATTCTATGCGAACTGGGGGTGGTGGTTGGAGAGGACAGCCGCTCACGGACTTAAGACATATGCGTCTTTATCAGGATTACCTAAGGTAAGATAGGTACCTATGCGCGGAAGAGGAATCTACCTAGATAGATACGAGTTAGATCAGGTATTTAGAGGTCGGGTCCGAAGTCTGTAGTATCATGCATGTATTTGTATCGTAGTGGTTGGGCCCAGTTAACTTGCCTCCAGCAAGGGAAACGTTAGCCCTTAACGCTAAAGGTAGCTTTCCTTTATGGCATGATATTGCTTGAATATTGCTTATGAACACATAAGGAGTAGCGCATATGCTCACCGAGACAGTGTCACGTTGAAACTTAGTGTCTCTCGGTCTTAGAATCGGGATTTAGGGGTGGCAGCCGCTGTGGCATTGGAGTACCGGCCTGTCTAAGACACTGAGACGTCATACCAGCTGTAGAAGGCTGGTTTCTATCGCCATCTGCATTTTCTGTTTTCTGCCTGCCTTCTCGAAGATGAAGAGACTTGATAGTTCTTATCATCGGATATGAAAGACTAACAAGGACCTACTGTTTACAGAGCTCATCCGAAAAATAGGTCGTGGGACCAAAGAGATGAACATGGCGTGCTGACAGAGTGAATGGACTCTTGGCCATGGGCCTCTAATGAATACATACCTAGTAGATACGATTCTGTAACACACCGATGGCCAAAGTTTTGCTCGCTTCAATCTTCCAAGCCGGGAGTCATGAATCTGTCCTGAGGCGCACAGTCACATATCCTTTTTGAACTCTCAAGTGTAATTTCACAACTCGAAGCAAGTTGCTGCAAAACGCAGGGGAGCAAACAGCGAGTTAGCATGCTTCGGATAAACGTAGTCGAAAAATAAATTAAATCATGAATTCCGAATAGACGGGTAAGCTTAGGTGCCTAGGTTAGGTTAGGTGTGCATAGACGGGATCCATTCTCCATCCCACAAGCAATTTGGATCCCAATCGTTCGAGTATCGTGCAAGATAGTTGCTTTTTTACTATATTGTTAATATACCACAATCAGAATTAGACTGTGAGAATGACATTTACAGATTTGAATTAGCAAACCTATCTCCCAAACGGAATTTTGATGTCATTTCTCACTTTTCTCAAATAGAGTAGGGGCGCATAGCCTATTCCATTATGAAAACCGCTTGTGAATAACAAATAACAAATGCTATGCGCGGCCCATGCGGTTGACGGGGTAAGGACCCATAGATAGACACCTCCCTCTTACCTAGTAACCAACTAGATATTAGTATTGGTTGGTTCTCCGGTCTTCCAAGAGATGGGAGGAGTTGAAGATCGGGAGGAGTTAGCCAAGGGAAAGTAGCACAGAAATAAACACCCTTTTTTTTATTTTTATTTTTTTTTAAATCGGCGTGGCGGCGGCTCAAACGTTTCATCCTTCTTTAGTGGTGGCCCTATCTAGCCTATTAGTCGAGTCGTTCAAACAAAAACGCCCGTATCCACTGGATAAGCGGCGCCGCTACATACGTTGACACAATGATCTCCCGATTTCTGCCAGTAGTAGTGGAATCTAGAAGTGAGCAAATATTTTCAAGCTAACAGAAAGTCTGCGGATTTCAAAAATTCGAATTATCAGGTTAAGTTTACCATGTGCACACATACCTTATTTGTTTATAATTAACTAAGCTATACCTACCTAAGGTAGGTAAAGGCTGACCAGCTGAAAGGTAACAGTAGGTAAGGGAAGCAGATAGGGCGAGTTCATCTGATGTTCTGCCCCGGAACTCTATGAGAAACAAAAGTAAGCACGGGATATGCGGGTATGCAAACAAGATCGTGTCTTGACCCCAGTGTGGATCCCTGGCAACGCCGGATCCTGGGGTCCACTTTTGTAGAATAACATCAACAAGTTTGAGGATTCTAGATATCAACCAATTTGCAAATCCGCAGCTCAAATCTGTAGCAGAATAACGTTAGAGAGGTGGGTGGTGGTGGGCTGGGAAAAGCTGGCACAGAAAAACGATTTATGGACGAATCAACGGCTTTACCGATTACCGCCCTAGGGCATGCTGGGTATGCCTTACTAGCCCCGCGCTTGACTGCCCCTCTTGCCTATGAAGGCTGGAACAAAAAGTAAAAATCTGCAAGGTACCAGATTTGCTTCAGGGGTTGGAAACAGACTAAAGGGACTAGGGGCTCCATTTGATTTTAGGTTTGTATGAGAAAATCCAGCTGGCCATATCATAATGTCTAATAGCATTAGATCAAGCCAGCAAAAAGGAAATGTTCCATTATGGTAATATAACATCAGGTACCTGTTACGACTATAACGTAAGTAAAACTCATTACACCTTAGATAGATTGTACAATTAAAGGGAAGAAAGAAAAGTAAATAAAAATCCGTATCTTCAAATACTTAGCATGTAAGAGGTTAGGAAGGGGTACCCAACAATGTTTATGACACGTTAGTGAATTACCTAGTGAATTACTATGTACTGGTAACATCAATTACCTAAATCTCACAAACCCCACATTGCCGCACAATATGCCGAGTACAAGTTTGGCTAACTCGGTTTAGCGTTTGTATATCACTTTCTCCCAAGAGTCTGATAGGCTTTTAGATTCAGATAAAGAGAAAAACCGGCTTCCATTATACGTCAACCAAGTTTCTTAGTAACTAGGTAGGTACTTAATGAAGAACTACATCCATTGAACCGTCACTATTGAAACTGGAGCCTGGTTAAACCTTAACTTACACTTCTTTTTTTTTTTTAAAAAAAAAATCTTTTTAGGGCTGTAATCACATCTATGGAGAAGTACGTACACACGAATATATTCTTGTGCTACGTGCATGGGGCAATTATTAAATCTAATAAACCCTGATTAATTGTTCCAGGTTGTTGCCGTTGAAGATTCTTATGCGTTGTGCTGAACCAAATAATATCTCTCAATCGTAATATAACACGTGGAAACATTATAAGTGGAAAAGCCCCAGATTCTCAGATTCGTACCTGTCATTAATTTAATAAACTATGATCTCAGATAAGATGCACTTTACATGTATGATCCAGTCATGTCATTTGATAATTGCTGAAGAAGCTTTCCCATGATGCTACTACATACAGTAAGGTAGCAATGAAGATAGTGACACCCCCTTTTTCGTAGCACTCAGCTCCAGCTCGCCCAGGTGCGCGAGTCAGTACCTGTCGAAATGACGCTAGGATCGACATTTCGCATCCCCCCTGGTCTAGCGCGGTAGCCACCTAGCCACTCAGGTTCTCAGATCACTTCTAAAGCACCTAGTTTATTTCGGTACGTATCCTTGTATCCTTTGTAACACAGTCACAACCCTTGCAAATCCCTGCAACTCAGGTACCAAAGCAAACATCCAGTCCCTTTCATTTTCCCTGTCATTTGTCTCCATTTCACCCTCTCACCTTCTCTGTACAGGCTCAGGTCAAGTCTTGTCCGTTCCTTTCGGCGCATACATCATTCCCCCTTTCCCGCTTCTCACTGCTTCTTCTTCCTCTTCCTTTCTTCTTTAAGGTGTTTGGCCCGACTCCGAGTTCGATACGTTTTTTTCGTGAGACCTCAAACACGACCAACTACTTTCCACTCTTTCCCGTACGCCTTGGCGCACTTTCATTCCTTCAAATACTCCCGAGTCTTCTCACTCTTGTCGCTAACTGTCAATCTGCTTAACGCGACCTGATAAGTTGACCGTTGTCTCGAACGACAAACTCATCGACTACTAGTCAAAACCAAACCCAATTCCATTCACTTTAGTCATTCTTTTTACCTGGACGCCAGCCGCCCTATCGACGTTGATACATCTGCTCTCGCTCTCGGAAGCACTCACTAAAAAAGCTCACGCACTCGTCTAACATAAGAGCCGTCAGTTGTGTCCTTGTTTAACCACACTTAATCCAACTGGTCTGGTTTGCCGTTGGTTTAGAAAATACCCTTGGCCCATCTTTGCTAAGTACATAAACAACAGTCATCTCCATCATCTCCACTGCCAGCTGGAACTGAAGAGTTGAGTCCCTTCGTCCAACCACATCCAACATCTGCCTGGAGATAAGACTTCAGAAGGCATTCTTGCAAAGGTACGCTACCAAGGATTTCATTGTCTTCCCATATATCCGTGTCCCCCAATATCGAGGATCATCTGGTTGTTGCAACTAGCATTTTATTCCGTTGGTGTGGTAAGCTTTGTTCTTGCTTGAAGGTGAGGATAGTTCCTCGCTTCATTAATACAAAGCGCATCTCGGGAATAAAGGAAATTCCTTAAATCGAAGGACGTCTGGACAATATTCTAGAGGGTGGTAACAACAAACAAAATACAACATCAAAACCACACTTACGCGGTGCATTGCAAATGATCAACGCTCTCTATGTCTTTTCCCCTTCTGTTGTATGCATACTATCACTCATTGAAACCAGAATAGATCTAGCAAATAGACTCTGATCATAACCACGCTCATTTCCCTTTCCAATTCATTATATTCAAAAGTTGGGCTACGTACATTGCTCACATTTTACAGTTTATTCGTCTTTTACCAAGCTTCACGTCGAGCAAAATGAGATCTTCGATTCTGGTCGCCGCTGGCGCAGCATCGCTAGCTATGGGCAGCCCTGTAGAAATGAAGAAGCGGGCGATAGAAACCCAATGGGTCACAGACTACTACACAGTTACTGTTACTGGTGGCCAGCCCAAGCCAACCTTTTTGGCCCCGAATGAACTCCCTGTAGACTCAGCCCCTCCTGCACCTGTTGCTGCACCTGTTGTCACTGAGAGCCCCGAGGCACCCCCGTCGCCCCCGAAGCCAACCGTCGTGGTTGTTACCCAAACCTACCAGGCTTCTCCTCCCCCTGCGGAGACCACCCAGTCGCCAGTCGAACAGTATCCTACCTCTTCGCCTTCGCCTTCGCCTTCGCCCACTCCTTCGCCCACCCCCGAGCCATCTCCTGAGTCATCTTCCAAGGCCGAGCCGGAATCAACTCCTGAGGCTCAACCTGCACCTGCCACGGATTTCATTGGTCTAGCAGTTCAGCACCACAACTACCACCGCTCGAACCATTCTTCCCCAGAACTGAAGTGGAGTGACAAGCTTGCTGGTTACGCCTACCAGACTTCCCTTTCCTGCAAAATGCAGCACGACATGTACGTTTATTCGATCATTTCTAGTTTTCAGATTACTAATGTTCATCTAGGGACCAAGGTGACAAGGGTTACGGCCAGAATTTGGCTAACTGGGCTACGAGCGCAGACGCCTACAAGCTGGGCGATACCGGTGCTATCAAGATGGCCGTCAGTGATATGTGGTACAACGGAGAGTTCAACAGCTTCCTTCCGGACTACTACGGCGAGGCGTCCCCCGATATGACGAACTTTGAGAGCTGGGGTCATATGTCTCAGTTGGTTTGGAAGGCTTCGACTGAGGTTGGCTGCTCTTCCCACTACTGCGAGCGGGGAACTATGTACGATGACTTCGACGCTTGGTTCACCGTCTGCAACTACAGCCCCCCTGGTATGAATAACCCTCTTTGAATCATAACATACTTAATGCTAATATACGATTTAGGAAACGTCGGTGGTGCTTACGCCGCTAACGTCCTCCGACCTCTCGGCAAGGCTACCGTTACCGCATAAGTTAGCGTCAGGTTTGCATTACGTTTTGGGCAGTATATCGCTAGTAAAAGCAATACGTGCCGAGCAAAATCTCCTTCGATTCTTCAGTGTATAAACGAATACACAAATTTTACAGAACCAGCACTCGCAGTATGATTGTTGATGACACATGGAAAAACCGGCGTGAATGGGGGCACCAGGGAAAGGATGGTCCTGGATTTCTTTTTTTTTTTTTATAGCATTTCTTCGATTCGTTGTTGGGCTTCGTGCCATTACACCTTTTCATTCCTGGTCAGACTTGTCGTATCTAGAATATGGCCTTGCATTCACCTGCGGAGTTGGACGTCTATTCCCGCAATGCGTTCAACCAAGTCTGGCCTATTTATCAACCAAACCTCATTTTCGCTTCTTGTACCTTTTTTCTTACATGTTCCACATTTCCCAACAAGTCAAGAGGAGGCAGTGCTCAAATTTGAGCGCTCTGTCCTAGGTTCTTAAAGTCCGGGAACATGCGGCCGAGCCGATCACGTTGTGGAACAAAACCAGGCCCGTATATTCGTTGTATGTAGAATCCATTCGATACTAACGAAGACTTATGAACTGCATAGAGCAATTCTATATGAGGATCGTACGAAATTTTATCAGTTTACTCAAATCATTGATGAATATTAACGGTGATATGTAACCTACCGAGTTCCTTCATCTTGTAAAACTGAGAGACAGTGGGTTAATGGCCGGCCTATCAGTAAGAAATTTATAATTTCTGAAGAAAAAAAAAGGAGGGGAGTTCGCTGCCGGGATAGTGTAACGATTTATACTGAAGAAAGGTTTTTATACGTGGAAAGCAATGACACATGCAATTATACCCCCAAACGATGTGCCGTATATTCTACCAGCCTGGTCTGGTCCGTACAAGCAAGCTCAGGTAATCCGAGTTGCATAAGGTATCTTGGCGCGACGATTGGCAAGCGGTTACGAGCGATCATCGGTCGTTATTTTTAAGCCTTTCGGCGCTTTGGCCTTGTCGTAGTCACCAAGCGCTTGATAGCCCATTAGAAGAAGAAAAAAAACGAGTTCAGCTAGCTGCCAATGTCCTAAATACCTAGAGGTAGGATAATACCTACGTACCTGTTACCTAACTATTGTAGAAGGCAGCGAGTGAGTGTTTAGTCGGATACTGAGATGGGATTTGAAGGATGATGCGAATAATTGATACTCTGCGTGCTGGACGCGTTGCGGTCACGAGACGATGAAATTGTTTGGGTTGAGGTCTCTGGGGTTGCGTGTTGTAATGAGAAATAGGGGTAGAGTATTTACATATACCGACTTATTGGCATACCGTTCATTCCAGGCGCACCCATGGCCCAGAAAGTAGCAGGATACCTGGCCGACGGATTAATAGTATGTTAGGAACAAGATATTGTGCCTTATATTCCTTCCGCGCAGTTAATGCAAAAACAGACAAGTTCTACGGGTAGAGCATATGTATGCTGGGGATTGAATGACTTTCACCTTCCATATTTTCAATCAAGAAAACCTGATCCAAGACTGTTTATAGTGCTTCCACTTAAACTAGGTATCGAAGACGCACTTCCACGATACTGGAGCTGTTACCCTCTTAGTTGCTGCTGCTGTCCTAGTGGCACCACAGGTTGCATTCGACGACTCGGACAGAAACAAGATTTCCGAGCGCAGCATGTCTAGTCGTGAAATTTCTCAGCGTAACTACGAATATGTCTCCAGCTGTGGTGATGAAAGGGTTCCCATATATGGCTCTACCTATCTCAATGGCTCAAATGCAACTTCACCGTCGACGCCTTCTTCGCGCACATCACCATCGATTACGACGGGGATGCCGCTGTAATTCGCCCTAAGACGTACGCTGGCACCGACGACCTGGGAGATCAGATTGGTATCGACAGCAGCAAGGACCCGAAGGACCCCAAGAACTTACTCCTATGAAGCAAACACTTTATTTCCTTCGGTAGGTATTCTGCTTGTTATTCTAGAAAAACAGCAATATAATGAATTGGTAATACGGCTGAGTTTCATTACATGTTGGAGTTTAACCCTATTCAAGAGAGGAAAAGAGAGATTCCGTAGACTAGGTGAATAAATTTCAGTTGAGCCAGGCCATGCCTTGATAGCCCGCTGAAGGAGTCGGGTACCTCATCCATGGCCATCTCTAGCCCTCGACAGTATTGACTTCCGCCGAAAAGCACATAGATTTACACAGCTCTATTATGGGTTAGGTCATACACGTGTTCGCGCCATATATTTTGTATTGCGTTTTAATTCACGCACCTAATAAGATCCCTCGAGGGTTTGGGTGTCTGTGTGTCTTGCTGTGCAAAGTGATAGGCATCTAGCATACAAGTATATTAGTGACTTGTACTGACCCCTGCCCCTTTTCTAAGTAGAGGAGGAGTGCCCTCGTGATATGGGCCTGGTGTCTAGCAGCTACTCCTAAGGGAGTAGCCCGACTAGCCTTCACTATGTAATAGCTGCAAATGGAGGGTATTTGAGGGGAAGAAAACACAGATTGGAGATCTCGCCGAATAGAACTATATGGATGTGGCTATAATTACCAGCATATCATGGTTTTCTTGAAACGGGGAACATTAGAAAAATTTGGGAGTAGAACATCCTTAGGCAAATACGTGGTGTTACCTGTGATATTGTCCTTATGTCTATATAATAACAAATGCGGAGCACCTTTGTGTTTTCATTTCGATGCCCATCGTATTAGGCAGACTCCTTTTCAAAATCCAGGTCTGTAGCAAGGTAAAGAGGCTTTGGGACTACAAGGAACAGCGTAGAATAGCCAGCAATACACTAGGCGGTGATTTGCCTGTCGACATATCAATGAAGACATTCTCCCACGCGTAGACTCTCCTCCTTTATCATCTCACACTTGTCCAGAAGAACCCATGCTATATACTACGTAGAGTCGCGTAGAGTTATGTAGAGAAAAAATGACCATCAACGGCATCAAAGAACATACGACTCTGACGGCACCAACCCCGTCTAAAGGTAAGCAGATAATGTATGTCAAGAGGAACTTTCAGCAACAACAAAAAAACGGCCAAGTGGTCGAATGCGCATGCCAAGGCATTATGAGCCTCCCTTGAGGTCCGGGGTTCGACCCATGCATAGGGCTGACATTTACAATATTCAATTCTGGGATGATGACAAGTATCCAAATGCTGCTGATGTCTATTCTAGGAATACCAAGTGGTATTCCTTGACAATGATGATATGCCGACAATTACCTGACCAGAAAATTTTTTTTACCCTTTTTTTTTTCTCGGTTTCTAGAGAATTAGTCAAAGAGAAGAATAGTTGTAATTCAATAACTTGACATTACTATAGTTACCTCTGATAATATGTGCCTTTCTTCTTTCTTTCTTTCCTTCAGTAACCACTTATCTTATAGAACCATTCATCTGACCTAACTTAATTCTTCTCTTTACTTACTCGTGTCTCATGAACTTCTTTCTCATAGTTTGTTCTCATCGCCTTATGGTCCTTTGTACTAGGGGAATGCATGTCCAAGATAATACACTAATCAGATGATGATGCACTAACCATTTGTTCTTTTGTGACAATAGTTGGGTACCTACCCATAGCTCCGCTGGAGTAGGGTCTTCGATTTTTTTTTTTAAAAAAAAAAGAAAAAAAAAAGAATTAGGCAGCTGTTTGAAGTGGCATGACGAAGAAGAGGATTTTAAGCCTCCTTTTGTAGGGGTATAAATAGGATAAAATAGGACTTAATCTCATCAGATCTAATCTGTGTAATTCGTCTACCCAACGATGAGACCAAAGGGAATGGCTTGGCACTTAATGTGCCACTTGCAGCAAGCGGGCTCACCTCAGAAGGATCCAAAATTAGAGGCGAGTTGGCTGTGAGCAGAAAACTATTTTATGGTTAGGTACCTGACATACTACAGGTAGTAAGCATTTCGGTCTTCTTGGCAATTTGTTCGAATAGGGCAGTTGGAAGTTGAAAAGTTTGTTGTTTTAATAAGAGCTGCTGTTGGCGTCGTATATCGGGGCTAGGTGTTGTACAGTATGCATAATATTACATATGTATAGGGCTATGATTTGGATTTGGACCGGCTGACTGGGTGAATTATACGACAAGAAGAAAATTAGGATCTCTCTAATCTTGTACTTCATATGGAAGGTTATTGTTACATCTGTATGCGCCTCGTACTGTCTGTGCAGCCTTATATTTTCAAGGTTGTTTGTTAGCTGTACTTATATCGTATTGTACATGGAAATATCCCTTGCAGTTCCAATTGATTGTGGTATTGTTTAAAGAATCGATAAAATTAGTGGCGTTAGGTAGGGTATGGTGTACAAGTATATTACGTAGCTTGAATATTTTAGGAATTAGGTGCATGCCTTGGTTACATTTTAAGGAAAAAGAAAGGAGGGTCTTCGACGCACGCGGCCAAGGCGGCTCTGATGCGGAGAAGAGCATAATTTCCCAGGTACACACCGCTGGTAGCATCTGATGGAATGTCTCCAGAAAAAAAACAAGAGCGGTTCAGATCGGGTGATACATACCTAGGTAGGTCGGCAGCTACAATTAAGGTTGATAGTCAGTCCAGCCAGTCAAGTCAGTGAGTATAGACAGGCAAGGGGTAGGTACTACTCTACCTAGGTAGGTAAGGCAGGTGTAAGTAGGTACCTAAGGTAGGTACAATACAATAAATACACTAGGTAAGGTAACACTAACTTTTCAACTTAGGTACCTAGGTTAGGTTAGGTACCTACCTACTTTAGGTAGACTTTAAAAAAACACAGTATTGTACGACGTAGATAGTGTAGAAAGATGGTTTAAAATCCTCGTTGGCCCCTAGCTGGGCTTGGCATAATGGGGCCTTCTTTCAGGATTTACCATTCACTTCCCATCTGATACGGCTGATACGTTGCCTATCAACCAGTCCGACCCAACCAGCATCCAGGAACATAACTGACCAAAGAGAGGCTAAAAAAGCGACTCTATCAACCATCTCATCTCTCCAAAAAACAACGTCCTATAATCTTGGCATTTTCAAAAAATGACGATCTTACATAGTAGTCTTTGGGGCACGAAGGTGCTTGGCATTTCTTCTTGGCAAAACGACGGAAAAGACGGCATTATTGTCGCATATCTATTATTTTAAACAATTTATCTAGCTAGGTAGATAAAAATAGGGGAACCCGTCTTTCTCACATTTTCAAAATGTGTTTGACGCTTTTCTTTTCCTTCCTGTTCGCCACAAACCTACCCTAAAAGAAGTTCGCCATCCTTTTTCTTGATTCCCTCCTCCCCTACCCCCCTCCCCTACTCCCTAACCTCCCTAACCTCCCTCTTTCGTCTCGATGGGCTTTTGGATGTGCATTTGTATGATATCGCGATAGCTTGTCTTTTTTTTCCCCTTCGCTCATTCTACCTCTCATTCATACCTTCATTTGGCTCGCCTTATTATCGCAACCCTTGCTCTCCTTTATCGAGACGGAGCTTACGCGTCCACTACGACGTGTTAATCATATTGTGGGGTAGTAGTGAACAGCTACTTTTTTTCTCTTTTCTTTTCTTCTCGACTCTTAGCTTAAACAGTTGATCTGTTGCGCGCGCGCAACCACAAGTGAACTCAATGGGATGGATTACGGATCAGTATTCTTTTCCTCGGCAGCTGGCTTCGAGTCGATACGTCGCGATGGTGCTGTCCCGCAGACGTTCGCTCTTATTTCTGGGCTTACCATTATTTCTATTAAGTTCGTATACCTTGCATACCTCGTAACCCTTATTTTTGAGGCTCTTGTTTTGCGCATAGATCTTTTGCGACTAACAAAAATTTCATAGTCTTGCTTTTTTCCGGTAGTGTCGGCGTTGACAACGAATGGGGACATAAATTAGACAGCATAGGGGATAACTTCAAAGCTGGTGTTAGCTATGTAACCGGTAACGGTACCGTCCAAATATCATATCCTTCGCCCGATGCACCTCATAATACTTCTATGCCATCCAACTCGACGCTCGTTCCCTTCCCGAGCGAGTTGGCTAGCGGCGCCACTGAAACTACCGTAAGGACCAAGCCGTACGCCCGGCCTGGTTACGAACTACCACTTGCCAATGGGGTACCTCTTCGCATTATGGCGCTTGGTGCCTCGACCACTCGTGGTGACAGTCCTGAGGAGGGAATCGATAATAACGGTTTCCGCCGACCTCTCCGCGAGAAACTTATGGCTATTGGCAACAAGGTCAACTTTGTCGGAACTCAACGCCTCGGAAACATGACCGATAATGATATCGAGGCCTATCCCGGTGTCGTCACTCAAACTATCCATGGAAACGCGAAGAAGGCTGTTCCTAAGTCGAAACCTAACCTCTTCCTCGTCAACGCTGGATCCAACGACTGTTTCCAGCACGTCGATATCGACAACTTCTACAAGCGTTATGATGCTTTGGTCCGCTACCTCCTCGAAGCCTCGCCGAGATCCACCGTTATTATGTGCACCATCCTACCTACGTGGGACACGCGATTCAACGGTCGAGAGGAAGTCTGGAAGGTCAACCCGCAGATCCGAAGGCTGGCCAAGATCTACAAGCAGCAGGAACTTCCCGTGGTTCTCGCGGAGATGCAAGGCCCCGACGGAATTCAAGACGAAAATCTGGCTTCCGATGGTATGCACCCTGGTACTGCTGGCTACGAGATGATGGCCACCAAGATGTACCAGGCTATTGTGGAGGCGGACGCCAGGGGCTTCCTACAACCCCCTGAGCCTATGCCTGGCATCCTCGACGACGGAGACGAGGAGCGCAAGGACGAGGATTATAAAAAGTGGGTGGAGCGAAAGAAGAAGATGGAGAACGCGCTAGAAGCGGCAGAGCAGAAAGAGATACACAGGATGCTAGCGGAATTACAAAAGATCAAGAACGAGAAGGATAAGCCCAAGGAGAAGAAGACCAAGAGCACCAAATTACGGCGACGTCCAAAGATGCTGTTCTAGTTAGGCTGATAACAAGCGGCTTTAATGATTTAAAGAGACAATTGGGCAACTTTCTATTATCTTTTTACTATTTATTACTATTGTTAATAATGGGTTTTGCCTATACGAAGTAACGGCCGCCTTGTTGTTATCATACGCTATATACCATGTAGACTATTTATCTACCTACCTACCTACTTAGGTTAGGTACCTATCTATTAATCATACCCAAAAAGAAGGCAGAGATTAGAACAAGCTTCCTCTCGTTTCTGTAATGGTTATTCCGTGATGTTACGTAGTACAGACTCCCGGTGTACACCTTTAAGTGTAACTTGTTAGGTACTCGTTCTGATAGGTACATCCAATTGTGCGCACTCCTTCCCGTCCTTTCTGCAGTCTGCATGTAATGTGATTAACATTTCGTACCAAACTTGGCTGTTTTACTCGGTAGATTAGCGATCGAATAATAGACTTGTATGTAGATTAGGTAGGTATATCAGTGTAGGTATATGTATGCCTGATATGATGGTATAGACTCTAATAATAGATGAGACTGCCGATGGATCTAGTTGCTGTGCCGCCGGATCGAGTTTTAAGTCTTGGGATTTCTAGCGAAAAGCTTCTATGTATAATCTATATCCGGGCCGCTAAAAGTTACCGCCCAGTCGGTGAAACCTAGGTAGGTTACGTAGGTGTTGTGTTTTATTAGTTAGGTACCTAATGTTAGGTACTTTTTAAGGTTGAGTTTGCGCTAAGGTACCTAGGTAGGTAGGTAGTAGGGTGTTTGGTGTTTCCTGCCGTCTCTTCTTCTCTCCGGTTGGTTAAAAAGACCACTCCCAATCCAACCCACTTTTTTCTTTCTTTTTTTTCCCTTAATTCCCTTTTTTCAAAAAATCGAAGACCAATGCGACACTGCATGAGAGCGCGCCATGGACGTGGATCGCGAATCTGAGGTTGCAGCCTCCACAAATTTCGTGCGACGCCTGCGTCCGTCCTGCTTGTCAGCATTAATTTTTCGTGATTTGTTTGGTTTTGGTTTGTTGGTTGGTGTTCGTCAGCCTTACTGAATTGATAATCGTAAGATCTGTAATTTCGAGAGAACGAATTAATCTTTGGTATTCTAGATAATCATTTGCTAATTGTATCTGACAAGTAATGGCGATTCGTTTGCGATAAATTTTTATTTTTATTTTTATTTTTTTACTTTTTTATTATTATTCCAAGCATACCTAATTCATCGTCCCCCTGTTGTTCTCGTTCGATCCTTGTGTAATGGCCAGTCTACCCAGCGTAGCCAGCAGCCAACCCGATCCGCGACAGTTAAGACTTATAGCCGCTGCTGCTCAGGCCAACGAGGCCAGACTCCGCGATATCTTGGCCGAAGACCCGCCTTGGACGTCTGTTACCGATCAAGACGCGCTTCGCCAAGCCCTCCAGAAAGCCGCGGCGCGCGGTAAGCTCTCCATCGTCAAGCTCTTGCTCGACCACGGCGTCGAGGTCAACCCCAGACGAGAAAACGAGATTCCTGCTTTGGTGAAGGCTGCCGAGGGGGGACATGCCGATATCGTAGCCGAGCTGCTGAAGCACAATGCGGATCCGAATGCGCGCAATCGCAATTCCCAGACCGCCCTATTTAGCGCCTGTCTGAAGGGGTTCGACAAGGTAGTCGAGACTTTACTACAAGGCCACGCGAATGTCGAGGTGCAAGATAAAGAAGGGCGAAGTCCCTTATTATTCCTAGCTTCAGAAAAGCCCGGGAATGGAAAATGGACCATCGACACCTTGAAGCTACTCCTGAACAACGGAGCGAACCTCGAGGTGAAGGACCAGATTGGTCGGACGCCGCTGTTGTGGGCTGCGACTAATGGCAATGTTGAACTTGCTTGCATCTTGCTGGAAATGGGCGCAGATGTCGCCGCTACGAACAACCGTGGACGAACTGCCTTGCATCTTGCCTCCGAAAGCCACCATAAGGAGCAGCACCAGGATATGGTCAAACTGCTCCTTAATCATGGGGCTACTCCTGTTGCTGTTAGCGACGGCGGCTGGACGCCCCTTCATAACGCTGCGCAGAGCGGCTATGCGCCTGTTGTCTCATTGCTATTAGAAGCTGGTGCGGACGTGAATGCTGAACTCTCTAACGGAATGACGCCTTTGCACTGGGCTGCTTTTAAGGGATTTGGGGAGATCGTACGGCTCTTATTAACCCGGCCGGATGTTGATCTAACTATCAAGGATAGCTTCAACCGAACAGCCATGCTTTGTGCCGCCGAGAAAAACCACCCGGAGATTGTTCAGCTACTCTCGCCTGCGCGGGCTGCTCACCGCCTATCTTCTGTTGCACGGCGGGCATGCCAAGCCTTCGAGGCTACTGTCGTAGACTTCGGCCAATTCGAGAAGAAACAGCTCGTCTCGAAATATTCTGTGTATGACCTCTTATACGGATGGGATTCCGAGAACGACAAACCAAAAATTCCTACCTTAACCAAGAACATCAAGTATAAGCCGGACTTTAGATGGATCCATCTTCCCGCGAATAATGTATAATTCTAATCGAGTATCCCCATCATGATAACTAGGGCTAACAAAACGTTATAGATTAATTGGGTTGAGGTATTTGATTTCTCTTTCATGTAGCGTTTCCGTGAGCTCACCCTTTAGTAGACCCTCCTTGCCAAGTCCTTCATCGAAGCGGGACATCGGGATATCGAGGCGTTTAAAGCACTGGAGAAATGTTTCGATCAAGAGCACCGCGGGGAACTTCCGCATGCCCATTTCATGAGGACGTGTTCGCATCGGATCACGTCGCCTCAAGCTGGTTTCCAGGATAAAAAGGATGACAAATCGATCCTGACTCCCTTGTCCGAAGAGCCCCCTGATGCTAGTGCGAGGTCGAGCCAGAGTGGCGGGGATTCGACCCCTAGGCAGAACGACTATTTCGAAGGCGACATGCCTGCTAAAAAGAAGAGCAAGTCCGAGCAGATTATGGAGCGGCATCCCAAGAAACATAAACGGTCTAAAGGACCCCCGGGTAACCCGCCGCATCGACAAGACAGCGCCGCGAGTAGCATAAGTAGCAAGTCCCAAGGTCCGCTCGCCTGGGGTACACCGGGATATGCGCCCTCGAACGGGAAAATCGTCTTATTCGTAGGTGCTTCCCTCATTCTACAATAATAATAATAGATAACAGTAAGTAGTAGATAAAGCTAATTTGTTAAGATGCCATTCCTGCACTACGAGACAGATGAAAGGCGGCGTAAGATGAGCAGTGCTATCAAAAATGCCTATGAAAGACGAAACATCGTCGAGACCTCTTCACGGGATTCTCTCATCGTCAACGCGTACTTGAACAGCAGCCCGCCTCTCCACCCCCGGCGAACTCTTGACCAGTTTTTCTACCACGGCATCGACACGTCGGCGAGAGACACGGATCAGGTAGTTTACCGCTACTGTAAAAGGTACTCGCTAGAGCCCAAAGTGTTCATGGTCGATCAGCTGTGGCTCTGGGTCATCGGGAAAGGTAAGCGTAGCTAAGGATGCTGGCTAGGATTACGACTTATTTGTTCTAGATCTTATTATTACGTGCTTCCCTCAGCGCTGGGACCAGCCTAAACAGGACCCTTTGAATGTCTTGGACGGGATTATAGAAGAAACGAATGCTAAAACGCGTCCGCCAATTGGCTCTGTGTGGTACGTATATAACTTCACTCACCGAAAACCCTTTATTTAATTTTATCGCTAGAATTAGGGCTAACAGATGTCTTCCAAATAGTATGTTACCATACTGTCCCCTTACAGTTTCTACGCGATCAACATATTTCGCTAAGGGCACTTTGACGGCATAATTCTTAACTCTGTATCGGATACTAACAAATACTAGATGATTTAGCGATGCTCATTACAAGCCGGTGTTCCGGTACGTTTGACCGGCACCGACTCGACGACCAAGACTTTCAGTTTCTGGATATGTTCGAAAGTTCCATCGGCGATGTTACGGATCGCGAAAGCCAGCTGTTTAGCCGATTCAACCGGGCCTCCGCGCAATCGGCGCAGTGGCTACAATATCATCGACGCCGCCGCCGACCGGCTCGCCTCCCTTCTTTCGGGACACCGGATCCGTATGAAGGGAGCGGTATGGACATGTTCCCGGATGCGCTACTTGATATTGGCGTTGAGACCTCACTGCTAGCTGAGATTAAGGACATTCGTGACGAGTTAGGTATCATCTCCGTGTTGCTCGACTCGCAAGTAGCCGCGCTAAGCGACTTCGAAGATCAGATCACGGAGGAATTGCGCGCCGAGGGACCCAACCGCCGCGCGACCGACGCCGCGCTCGCCGAGATCCGGAAGCGCGGCCGGGAGCAGCTGCGGGGGCTGGAGGTGCGGCAGAAGGACATCTGGCGGATGGACCAGCAGGCGGCGTCGCTGTACGACAACTTGACGGACCTGCTGGACCTGAAGCAGAAGCACTCGAACGCGCTGGAGGCGCGGTTCGCTGGGGACCAGGCGGTGATCGCGGCGAAGCAGGGGCAGACGATCATGGTGTTCACGATCGTGACTATCATCTTCCTGCCCATGAGCTTCATCGCCGCCTTCTTCGCCATCAACCTCCGCGAGTGGCGCGACGGCGACGCCCTCACCATCCCCTACGTCAGCAAGTACATGTTCGGAATCGGCCTCGGCGTCAGCGTGCCCCTCATCACCGTCGCGTTCGTCGTCGCGGATATCTCCGACGCCGCGAGGGATCTGCTCGCCACCGGGAAGAGATGGCTGGGCGCAAAGAGGAGGGAACGGCGGCTATCTACAGGTGGGGAGAAGAAACGCGACGAAGAGATGATTCCGGAACAGGAGACGTACGTCCCCCCGCCGAGAACGTCCATGTCGCTATCGCAGCGGGAGCGCCGCGGCGGCGGGTTTAGCAGAGACTTGCAGACGGACGGACTGTCGGCGAGGACGAGGCCGAGACATAGCCGCGACCGCAGCGACGACTACTACGGCAACGGCTACGGATACTACGCCGCGGCGAGGTTGTCGCCCACGTCGGGGCGGCGCGGATCCCTGGCCCCGAGGAAAGTTAGTTTTGGCGACGCGCCCGGAAACGGCCATGCGACCGGGGGCCCTTGGATGCGACCGAGTCTTGACCGTAGTCGCGGGAGAAGAGTCAGTGAAGACTTGGAGAAGGGACGGCGAGCGTATGGGTGAGAAGCTGGGGGCGGGGCATGATGTGAAGAATTTAACAGACAGGAATAATAATATACGGGCGTGGACGAGTCGCGGGAAGGATTTAGATGTTTTAACAAAAAGCCAAAAAAGCCAAAAAAGTACACGATATATACCCAAGCGAAGTTTATAATTTAGGTATGATCTGCTGGTTCCTGGATTTATGAGGAAGATGCTTTGGTCTCTATGTACCCTAAACTCGGTGAGTGAAGAGCATCTAAGGAACTTGGATTCGGCCACGCTATCATCATAAGAATATGATAATGAATTACGTTTACCTTTAATTTTCATGTAAAAATGATGTTTGAAGGATGCCTAGCAATTCTAGACAATCATGGTCGTATTTGGTACTCAGTTTCATGTTCATACCACTCAACCTTAAGACCAAAAAGGCGAAAAAATTACAGGATAGAAAAAAAAAATCCATATACTCTCAAAGCGATGGGATGAGAGATATCTAGACTAGAAAAAGAAATGCATCAGCCGCGAATCGAACGCGGGGCCCATCGATGGCAACGATGGATTTTACCACTAAACCACTGATGCTAGAAGCTCAATTGGTGATTGGCTTGTGACAGAGGGCTTGGCATTTGGGGTATATATCGCAAAGAATCATTCGTCAATATTAACGACGAAAGTGGGGGTTTAAACCCAACCATCTCCCAATCAGATCATCTAAACAATGCACACTCATCTCATCATCATCCTTTCCTCGCGGTGGCAAGGGGACAATTCTCCGGAAAATATTCTGAACAACTCTAATTCCTCATAGGAATAAAATATAACGATATCTGAACTAGTTTTTCTGCAATTCCAATCACAGCCAGGAAAGACTTTTTTTTTTGAAAAAAAAAGGAAAAAGGAAAAAGGAGGTCGGTCGGTCGGTCGGAGTCATGAGCATTAGTCCCATCAACCCCGTCGACGCCGCGGGAGATGCGTCCCCCATACCCCCGGCGGCGCCGCCGTCCCCGCCCGCATCCTCTGCCTCGTCGCCCGGGGCGCCGTACGTGAAGCCGCAGCCGCGCGCGCCGCGGTCCCCCGCGCACTCGGCGCAGATCCGCGTGCAGAACCGGCGGCGCGAGTACCTCGAGCGCAACCCGGGGTACTTTGGTTCGCTGGAGCACGAGCTCGCCGGTATAGTTCATCCCCTCCATCCATCCATTCATCCATCATCCTCCCACTTTCTTCCTTTTTATGATGATGACTTACTTGTCTTGGGAGGGAGAGAGAGAGAGAGGTGACTGACTGGCTGGCTGACTGATTTCGGCTTTAGATCCGGTGCTATATGATGCGCTCATACGGCAGTTCCAGTCCGCGGAGGAGCGCGAAAAAGAGGGCCGCGTGAAGGGGTACTCGCGCGTGCTGGAAGTCGACCTCCTGCGGGGCGAGGCCAAGCTCGCGCATCTCACGTCTTCCTCTTCTCAGCAAGCAGCAGACTCACTCACAAGTCAACAGCAGACACCCTCCTTCCCCACATCATCATCATTCTCATCATGGCTGCCCCAACCAGCAGCCGAGGACGCGGACCCGTTCATTCGGGAGACGGCGACGGGGGGCGACGGGCTGTTCGGCGTCGAAAAGGGGGGGTTGCCGCGGCGGCCGGAGACGAGGGAGGAAGGGCGCGAGAGGTGGGTCGCGTTTTTGCGCAGGAGGTTCGTGCTGGGCCGCGACGAGGATTTCGACTACTCGGCTGTCGACGAGAACGACGAGTTGGATGTGCTGGAGAGGCGCGAGCAGGAGGATGCGTGGTTCGACGATGAGGATCCGGGTTGGGCGAGCGATGGGCCGGAGGATCGGGGGGGTGGGGAGGGAGGAGGAGGAGAAGCAGGAGAAGGAGGTGGTGGGGGGACGATAGGGGGGAAGAGACTGGAGGGAGAGACGGGGATTCAGGATTTCTGAGCGGTGGGTGCTTTGGTAGGAATGATAATGAAGATACGAGAATTCGCCTTTGGGGCAGGTTTATACCCATATTTGAGTATTTTTACATTACATCGGGCTGTAGGGGATTATGAATGAGCCGCGGTAAAGAAAGAAGAAGTACCAGCTCCCATTACTGGATTAGCACCACCAGCTTCATTCCGTATCAGTTATGAAAATAAAATAAAAATAGAGGCTATGGATATGGCATTAGTTCACCTTTACGTAGTTCGAGCAACAATGTGTTAGTTAAACTTCACAGCGCTATCTATTTAGTCATCCGGCATTCTAGTCCATCTCAGGCACAGGTAGATGATCCACAAGCTTCAGCTGCAACCCCAGCTGCGCGAGGGCCTTTATAGCGTTCTCGTCCCTTAGCTTTTCCGTCTCTTCTTTCGTCGTCAATACGAAGTCGTGCCGCAACAATAGTCCCCCTTCTTGGAAGTCGTATTCCTTCGCCGTCGCGGCATCCGCCTTCTCGAAGTCTACTAGTAGGCTCTGCTTCACGCCGAATACCGCGTCCGACGTCTCGTACGGATCGCCGCGCGCGTAGAGTGCCCTGGTTAGTTGCATGATTCGTTAGCATTCGGCAGTGCTAAAAGAAAGAAAAAGAAAAAAAAAATAGGTATTTTTCTAGACTTCGCTCACAACTCGTCGATGATGGATGGAATGGAGTATTTTACTCACGTAATTAAATGATCCCAACCCTCCTTCTCAAACATGAAGTGCAAATGCGCCGGTCTCCAGCAATGCCTGCCCAGCCTCTCCAGGAGCTTCCCCACGGGGCCGTCGTGCGGGATGGGATAGCTGACGGGCCGGATGCCCTTGAACCAGAAGCGGCCCTCGCTGTCGCTCACCATGACGCACCGCTCGCTCGGCTCCCCGCGGTCGGAGTGCTGCACGTCGTAGTGGCCGCTGCTGTCCGTCTCCCAGATGTCGATCTTGACGTCCGGCACGGGCCTGCCCGCGGTGTCCCGCACGGTGCAGATGCACAGCAGCGGCACGCCCTCCGGGTCCGACGCCATGTTCGACCCGTTGGCCAGCGTCGGCGCGTCGTGCGTGTGGAACGGCCCGAGCACCGAGCCCTCGGTCGACGACGGCGGCTTCGGGTGGTTGATGTTGTCGACTAACAAGGAGAGACCCAGGATATCGGAAAGCAGAATGAATTCCTAAGCCGGAATGAATTGCCCGTTAGTCTCGCTGCTAGGTACTATTTATTCTACCTACTAATATGTTTCTAGACCCCCCTCGACAGGTTAAGGTGGCGCGCTTACATGGCGCACATCGCTGCTGATCTGCCCGCAGCCCACGAGGAAATTGAGCGCTTCCATCCACTCTTCTGTGCTAAGCCGCGTCTCTCGAGCGAAGTCGTGCAAGTGCGTCACCAGCCGCGCCATTAAATAGCGCAAGCGCGGATTCTGGCATTGCGAGTTGATCCGAATCGTGTTCGGCGTAATGTTGTCAATCGTCAAGTCAAGAAGTTTTGGTATATTTCCGGGTGCAGCCATTGCGACAATGTGTTTGCAGAAAAGACGAACTCGACACTTGTAGATAGAGAGAGAGAGAGCAGAAGGACAGGATAGCGATGGGATGATTGATAGGTGTACGTATGATTAAAAGACCAAGGAGACATTCAAGTCGGTCGCTCGGGCCTTATGTAATTAATTATCTTGTCATCCCTCATCTCGTGCACTATGTCTCATCGCGTGTACTATGTCTCATCTAGTATACTATGTACGAGCGATGAGGAGGCTCGGATCCGGCAGTTGGTCGTCGGATGGGAGAAGGTTGACCCTGAACAGCGGAGAGCATGGGGAGGTAATGCGAGGACCCGGAAAGCCACGTGTCGAGTCTGGGATCACCCTCCATTTAAGCATGCCAACGCGCTCGCCTACCTACATTAGATCGAAAGCGAGTTGTTACATGTTGACTTCTACGTCATGGTTTAAAACAAAGTGCCGATAAATAATAAGCACATGTTTTGAATCTGCTATTTAGGTACCTAAGGTTAGGGGGGAGTATCGTCAGTTCCGACGTGGGGTAAAAGGACCAGGGGGTGGGAAAGAATGCGGAGATATCCTGGACTTGGAGATAACTTGCATAGAAGAAATAGCCCAATAAATCCGGGTACATTTGCAATCAAAAGGTACGACTCACCGTAATTGATCTACATAGGAGCCCCTATTCTTTTTTAATAATGCCTTTTTCAACTTCGATGATAACGATTTCTCACAGCGTCTTAAATTTTACATTGGTAAAGACACACCAACTTGTAACGAAAATGGAATAGGAATAAGTCGGAAAGATATATAATTGGTGCAGGTGAAGTGGTTAGAATGTGATAGCGAAAACATAATCTGGTCTAACAGTCTCCGAATTGTCTCTCGGCCTTGTTTCTCGCTATCTTGGAATGGGAGGGTTCCGTTGTGATAGGTATCACACTTTTCTGACTAGCCCAATATCTTTAGAGGAGAACTGCGGGCGACATGCGCAAGATACTGGTCAGTTGTACAGTTATTACTTATCGAAGTTCTGGTTACATTAGCTTAGGTATTTTAAGTACCTGTCATTGAGCCATTGAGGTAAACCACTGCCCATGTAAGGCCGTAGTTCCGAGTAACTTGGCTATAGTCCAATCCTGCGTAGGCCGCTATTATGGCAAACTGACGACACCAAGACTGTAACACCTTGTCGTTGCGTTTCGCGGCTCTGCATCTTACTTTAGATCGGAAGTTACACATAACGTTCCAAGAGGCTGGCGTGCTTTTTGAGGACGTAACGTTTGCATGTATCAATCAACTGCTTCATGTGTAAGATACAACGTATGTTTCATCGATCCTAGGTTAGATGGGGCCAATTGCTTTCCGTTGAACGAGGAGTAGCAGAGTCTTCCCCATGATGAAGGGGCTGAAAGCACGCATTCATTGCGGGCTAGCATAGACTTTAGTGTGTATCTTCAAGAGAGGAGCTGCGCCGCTCGTACACCTAGCTATGACGGCGACAGTGAAGTGCAGTAGTAGTCGTGAGATGCGTTAAAGGTAATTAGATCATAACCAGTGTCAAGGAGGTTTGGGATAGTATCTACAATATGGTACGTTTCGTCGGGAAGACAAAATCCAGGTGCCTTAGCGAAAGCTCATTGAGCTAAGACGATAGGGGACTAAGTCGTAAGCTGTGTTCTGTGTCCTGTGCCCTCCGGTTTTTTGCTATATTGATGCGAAAACATAGCCCAAGGAAAGTTGAATATCGGCGGGGAGGTCCAAGCCCTATTGATTGTAGCACAACTTCCAAATAGATTAATGAGTCGAAGAAAGTCCCAACGCTTATCCGCTCAGAACGCCACTGTCAGCACTTAAAACTACTAATGGGGCGTTATTTGAACAGGAAAACAAGGAAAAGAAAGGACAATATGAAGAGAATACAGTGCCGTCCCAAGAACGCCTCACCATGTTTTCTAGAACTTTTCGGTGGTAATACAGGGGATTCAGTGATCCACTCGATCCCGTACTCCGCCTCGTCAAGGGCAACATTACCGAGACAATACCTATGTTTCATCCGGAAATGACACCAAAAACACAGCAACGATGCCCTCGGGAATATTCAGCCCTGGATCCCTAAGGTGCCTAGGTACCTAACCTAAAGTTAGCTATTGCGCATTTGATTACAAGTTCTTTTTATACACAAAGGACAATGTGGCAATGCTGTAATTCATGCCCAACCGACCGAATCGAAAGCCTTGGGGGTTTTGTAAAGTCTCCCTGGAAATTAACTGGCTGCGTTGTTGCGCTATCACGGCCTCGTAAGCCTCGCCGGTTCACCGACGTCGTTTGGCTTGTACTACGTCGGAGGCCCGGTGAATAAGGAAAAAAAAAAACGAAAACCACATGGTCGCCGCTTGATGCTACCCGTACATATCAAAGCCCTCACGGGACCAACGTGCGGCTAATCGTGGCTCTGCCAGCCCTATATAGGGATGGGGTGTGTTGTGTTCCCACGTGGCAGCGCTGGGCCTGTCTGTCTGTATGGAAAAGGGGGGAAGGGGGAGAGGGGGGGTCTCGGTTCGTCTAAACATACGTCTTGTGTAACTTAATGCCTTGTAATATAGGTCGTATCCATGGATAAGAACCGTTAGATATCCTAATAACTACTATCAATATCGTAGGTAGGTAATTAATGGGTTGCCGGTAAGTAAAGGTTATAGTGACAAGGCAGACAGATGCGTTAGCGAGTTAGACCTTCTTTCTTCAAACTCCCAAAACTTTAATGAAACAAGCGGCACCGAATTGGCACCAGTTTCGCAGATGCGATATTCGCTCTGGCGTTGAGGGTTCTCTGATGACGTGAGAGGCTTGAAACGGTCTTTGCCACTCTTCAACGTTTTCGTCACATAACTTAAAAGTATAGGGGGTAAGAAGGAGAATCGACGTATGCTATGTATTTACATTTATGTCAGATAGGTAGTGTTACATACATAATTGTAGATATTACTTCAGTAATAAGAATTGCTAGGGGCCTAGTCTACTTTATTTGGCAATGGCAGTTAGAGGGGATGTGAGGGTCACGATACTATTGGTGATTAACTCTCCGACGCATCTATTATATCCACCTACTTAAATCTTATCAACTCGTTATGCTAGTGGGACAATGTAGCCAATGGTTAATACTAAACATCACTGACGTTAGGCTACTCGACACTTCCAATTGTGAGTCAACAAGCATATAATGAAAGAAATTACGGAGAGATAATAGGTAATTGCGGCTAGCAATCGGGTGGCAAAATGCACTATAATCTGAGGCCGGTTAAATTTTTTATTTGAGGGTATTCATGAAGAAAAGGACAATGTAAAAATTATTTCAGAAGGTCGCGTAAGAAACGCCTATCACGGCAGTGCAAAGAACAAGCGCGAGTCAAGACCAGTAAATGAGAGAATCAACTCTGTTGATAACTACCTCTATGTGTAAAAACCAAGGAAACCATTCTATACCAACTCTAAACCTGTAACTAGTAACATAACAAGAAAACAGAAAAGTCTAAACTAGATGTAGCCAAGCGAATGATTTGAAAAAGAAAAGAAAGATGAACATCAGTGCTCCCAAACCCAAATGCTTTTTTGAGTCGACATTCGCATTTTTCTGTCCTTTTCCACTCTTCCCGGTTGCCCGTTTTGATGTGGGCCCTCTTTTTACCCCCCTTGATCTATAGGGATGCATGAAATAATCGAAAGACCTAGGTATCCCAGCCGTATACGCCACCAGGGGTATATTTGCGTAAATGAAATCCGAACCAGCTTGAGCCGAAAATGTGAAGTCTATGTCGAAATGTGGCTCGAAGAACGAGTTCCGGAAAAGAAAACGGATCAGAGGATGCCGATAAATGAAATGTGCCGTGTAGATTGTTGCTCAAGAGTGTGTAGGGAGTAGGAGTAGGTAGTTGTCATTCTCGTGTGTCGGAGAGATAGAAGCCAACAGGTGGTGCTTAGTCTTTGAGAACAAATCTGGAAAGAAAGGCCTTCATTCAAAGGTCTGTCGAATCGAGAGTCGACCTTACTAGCTATTGTCCCGGATGCACTTGGTGCAGTGCTTGTGGACATGGCAAGCTACGCAGGCGGGTGTAAGTGCAATAGTCATAGGTCCAAAACCACAGATACAACAATACCAAAATAGGGGGGCAGATGGTGACGGCATGTTTTATGTTATGAGGATCTCAAACGAGACTGTCAAAAGTTGTCGGATGGCGAGAATGTCTTATATGAGGATATTGACTTGGGGATGCTAGGAGTCGATGATTTCTGAGAGACTGAGATGATTCTTAGCTGTTAGGAATCCTGAGGCCGTCTGGGAGAGGATATATATATATGTAGGTATATATATCTATTAGAGTCAAGTATACTTTGTTACATGTGTATTGTAGAAGAGACCCTATTTCTGCTCAGCCATGGCATGTAAAACGATGCATTGTATTAACTCAACGTTACCGTCTTGTGATACCAGATTTCTTAGGACAACGCCTAGGATAGGCCCCTAATTCGAGGCTTGTAAAAACTTGCTAACATTGTGACTACAATATTCGGTGTGGCAGCGTATAACTTGCCTTGGAAACAGCTTCACCCCTTGGTGAGTATGCTTTCCGCGTCGCTCTCCAAGCGGGTCTAGGGCGTACAAGTTCCGCCATGCCCGGAGAATGATGGCCATAGGACAAGCTCCGTTGTGGTATTTCTCCGGTGAAATATATTACATTGTAGGTCACAAGTAAGTTGTTATGCTGACCTCACCCTATAGCTAGGTTTCTGGTTCGGTGTCGTCGTTGTCGGTGGGGACCTAGAAGCACATTTTGAGGCGCTGGTGTCGCCAACGAACTAGTATAATTCAATGTTATAATTAATTAAACTGCGGTGACTAAAGATAAAGAGGAAATTATAATAACAGGTACCTAAGGTTGGTAGATACCTAAGGTAGTCGGAGAATTAACTATAGGCCTAATGCCGTCACCTAGACTCACATGAGACAATGTTGCGCATAGAAATTGGGGGTTAGGTAAGGTACCTGGATTTTGATTTGTCTAGATTCTTTTGGGGGTTTTCCTCTGAATATAGTCCTTATTGAAATCCAG